TTTGATCTATGACCAGGTCAGCTGATTAAAGTATGGATGAAAAAGGGGGAAATGACATATCAATCTTTATATCTTAGTGAGGTTGTTCAGAGTTTAGATTTAAGCCAATGCATTTCCATTTTTTGTGTCTGATCTTGCCTAATTCGATTTCATGATTTTGATATTTCACGTGACAGAATATCATAAAAACCGGTGCCATTTCAAAAAGTGCAAATTCTCCACTCCCAGTTGAACATCACTTTGATATTTGCAAATAGATATTAATTGTAAACTCACAAGTTATGCCTTATAAAAATTCAGATGATTTATCAGGAGTTTCAAAGTGCAGGAAATTAAATTAACAAAACGTTTGTGTTCTAATTAGATAGTTCGCATTATAAAAGCAAAAAAGCGATACTGATAAGAAGTAGAAGCATGTAAGCTTGCTAAAATCTTGGTTAGACATTTTTCTATGCTTAAAGGTATTGACCCAAGAATTCCGCCTTCAATTTGCCGCCTACAGTCAGAGGTGGCGAATTTCCACTTTCATCATTGCCACTGTTCTAACGTTTTCTTGGCACGTGAGATATAAAAATGGTGAAAATGCCTATTTCATACTAGATCATGCCATAACATAATGTGCGAAAAGTCTTACTTTTATGTAGACATTTAGCTCTGTCAAAACCACTTTTAGGAGTATCCGGTGGCAGTGATTTTATGTTTCCGGCCCAATGAATCTTCTTTGATGGAATTGGCACGTATTTGTTAACTTTGCCACAGAAATTAGCCACCACCTGTTCAAAAATATCTCTCTTGCGCTTAAGGTTTCGTCAAAGGTCAACATGTCTAAAAATTATTTTTACAATAGCTCCAAAACTATGTGTGGTATAAAGTCAAAACGTTTACAGTTTATAAATATATCATTGATTAAGGACGCGATTGCACGGCGTCACGTGATCACGTCATTTGGTGAAAACCATCGTTGCAGAAAAATAATGTTTGCTGTAACTATTTCCTGATAAGGCGCGTCATATGTTTGCGCTCATGACAAATGGGGTTTGTTTCTTAACATTTGGAGAAAATAAAAGGGAAAAAAACTTTAGGCTATAAAGATTGTTACGATGCACTGAAAGTGTTGGCGAGCGTTGATCATATTTTTTTATCTACGTGCATTTTTTACGATTTTTTTTTGATCACGATACTTTCTATCTGTTAATATATATAAACTGAACATTGAAATCTATTTCATTAAAAATAAATTTAATTTATTTCTTGGGGTTTATTATCCTCATTTTAAAATTAGAATTTTATTTAAGATTGTTGTGTATCATAGGATCTACATCTGTGTATAGATATTTTTCGAATGCTGAAAAATGCATATATTACAGAATCAGACGGCGTGATTTATTCTAGATGTATAAATATTACAATGAACATATCAGGCTTGATTTTGATAAGACATGTCCAAGTCTAGAAGAGAAAAAGACCACTCCATTAATGTAGAAGTACATATCTTTAAAAAAACGATAAAGCAGCACCGGAGAATTTTGTTTTCTCCTATAAGATCTAGGTTAGCATTTTCAGCAGTGACATTGACCGTGTAAACATTCAATGATCGCCGCACAAATATATGACCTAAACGTATTGTTGTAAAATGTTTTATGCGCCGTTTTTCTATATTGAAACACAACACACTTTCTTCTGAAAGAATACCTGGGAAAATATGTACATAAATAAATATCTCCGTCAAAAAAACTAAAATGAGAACTCATCATGTTTATGGGAATACATTTGAAAAATGTTTTATTTTTAATCACATGGACATGAATATAGATGTTTCACTCCAGCATATATCATAATGTGACGGAAAGTTATTTCAATCAATGATTATTTGGACCAAATCAAAACAGTAGATCTTTATTTTACTTTAAGTTCACTGTTCGACTAAAATTGTGACATTATGACGTCACAATGGAGATAGTCGCTCATCCAGATCAGGACTAATTTTTACTTTGCAGGATTCGCGCAGAAAATGAAGTGTACTTACTTGAAAAGAATCGTTTCAAGGAAAACTATGTGTAAATGTGAAATATTTAGAATAATTATTACTATAATTTTTGGCATTAAAATAAGATTATTTATGGATGAATACATTTATTTAAAAAAAATATAATGCAGTTACAAGTTTTATAAAATTACCTCTCAACAGGTTTTATTTAATGTGTTCTTTAAAATGCAAATTCATTGTAATTCATCTCGCATGAAAAATTATAAAGGAGCACCCCCCCCCCCCCCTTGCCAATTCCAGGTCACTAAGTAGAAATATCTTTGCTGATTGTTCAAAGCATGAAGAATAAGGCCTTTGAGGACTGTATACACTGGTTTTTTTTAATATATTATTTATTTATACTGATATAGTAACAAAATGAATATTATGGAGATGAAAAACTGATTAGTTTTAAAAAAAATTATTTTCGTGACCACTGTCGGTGATAAGTAAATCATTGTGTTTCACATATAGAATGAGCACCAGCTGCCAGATTTTTTTTCAGAGGAAAAAGTATTTATTTATCTATACATATGGCCTTTATTGTCTTTAAACAGATTATGCATATTTAAGGTCCAACAACAAACCATCATATGAAAATCTGTGAAATCTTTTAATATTCTAGGAGGGGGGGGGGTGGTACTGAAATGCGTGTAGCTTCAAAATTAATCTGATTACAATTTTATTTCATATTTTAACCATTTAAGTCACTTATAATGACTAGTACAGCATATATTAGTTTTGGGAAAATTCATTGGTAATTTTTTGTCTAGATTATTATTATTAAAAACTGTTATTGAGTTGAAAATATTACTGCAAATTTACAATTAATACTTCCCCCAAAATCAATGGCATTGCTACATTTATCAATAGTTTCCGTAACAATTTTTATTTTCAATAAATATAAAGCATATTATTAAATATCTGCAGGAAAATATTTAATTTGCTTCAATTTTGTTGCATGTATGGCAATATAAAACATTCACCTCATAAATATCAAAAGATTAAAAAATGGTGGTTACCATGGCAACCATAACTTCCTTATAAGCCTGATGACCATGCTTGATACTTCGATATAATGATATCATTGACATTAGGAAGGTTATATGTAAAAATGAGAAAAATTCATTGGGCAGAATTTTTTCACGGACCCGTGCAATTCTTTCCTTAATAAAGAAAAAGTATCACTTGGTAACAAATATTTTTAAAAAGATATTTTTTGAGAAAACTTGTATTAGAAAATGTGCATATTTAAAGAAAAATGCACCTGCTTAATTCTGTCCTTTTTGTGAAAACCATCGTTGCAGAAATAATATATGTTTATCATTGAAGGGCAAGTTGAATGTGAATGGTCTCTGAAAGGCTGTTATTGAAAGCATGACATGTATAAAGACAAGACCCCGATAGAATCCGCTATTTGCAATGTACTTTCGCTTTCAAGTCTTAACATTTGGATAAAATAAACAGGGAAAAAAACTTTCCAAAGGCTATCCAAGTCCAACTTGCCCTTTATTGATACACATATTTTGTTTCTGCAATGAAAGCACGGAATTAATTAGGTGCATTTTTTGAAAAAATATGCATTTTAAAAAGAAATTTTCTCAATATTTTTTTCCATTTTTTTTTTTATCAAATGATACTTTCTATCTGTTAATCAATGAAAAATTTATAAACTGTAAAAGTTCTAACTTTATACCTCACATAGTTTCGGAGCTGTTGTAAAAATAAATTTGGACATGTTGACTTTTGACGAAACCTTAAATGAAAAAAAAACAAGACAGGCACATTTGTAACAAAAAAAAAATTCATGAAGAGAAAATTATTAACCAACGTTAATTATTTTAAATAATGGAAATATTTGATTGTCTTTCTAGACTTTTTTTTATTAATCATTAAAGGGTGGATTCTTTTCCAAAAAGAATGGGATTGTTTGACATATGGACTCATATTCAAATATCATGCTAAAATATATATGCATATATTACATTTATACTGTTTAAACACAACAGTACAATGATTGGTTAAGAATATATCTTTTTACTTCTACATTTATTGGAGTTTCAAACACTTCATATCAGGCTTGATATACTTACCTCTAAATTTTCTGACACAGGGTCCAAGTCTAGAAGAAAAAATTCGGAAATCCTGTCTCCATTAATTTCAATGCTAACAGTAACGGTAATACCTTATAATAAAAAACGTTAAAGCAGCACCGGTATAATATGACGTCCATTCGACCATTTAATTCTTAGGCGAGGGATCAGTACTAGAAGATAAATCAAATATAAGTCCTCGATTAGCAAGAAAAAAAAATATATCATTGACTAGTGTTCCTCCCCCTTAAGGGTCCTCCACACCATGTGACCTGTGACGTATATGGAGAAAAAATATCTTTACCTCTCGATTTCATTATCGTTTTTCTATATTGTCTATTTCACAGGGAAACGCTTTGAAGCTCTCTAAAGCCAAGAAGATAGGAAAATCATTAAAATCTTATAAACGCTTTAAAGTCCCCAAATCTCCGTCAAAAACTGAGTGCTAAAATGAGAACAACAACGTAAACAATGAATGTGGGGATCGAAAAGAAGGTCCCGCAGAAGTAATTTAAACAAGTCGTTAATGTTTTGCACTAGGAAAAGGTTCTTGAGAAGAAGATGAAAATGTGAAAAGTTAACGACGACGACACACAACGAGTTGATCTAATTATAGCATACGGACAAATTTTGATCGGATGATGTGAACAGCGACAAGTTGATTTTCTTAACAAATGTTTTTATTTATAGAAATATTTCAAGATGTCTGTACCGGCTATCGCTTCCATCCTCGCAGCTTTGTTGTCTGTCAGTCTTGTCAAGGAAGGTAGGATCATACATTAACAGTTTTTTCAACGTTTAATTCCTTGTTTGTCAGTAGTAGTTGAAAGTGAAATTAATGGTGCACCACCTTAAGTACCTGTAGCTACTTGTAGAGTAAGAGTTTCTATTATATTACGATTTCTATTTTCTTTTTATTCGGGTAGAGATTGTTACACACATTAGGGGTAGGAGCGAAATTATAGATAAAAAAAGTTCTTTATGATATAAATTAGAGGGAATGTTAGTATTAAAAATAACTAGAACTGTCCAAACGGGACAAAATACCCCCCGCTGGGTTCTTCAGAAGTTTTTCCATAATAAAGATATGTATCAAACACGAATTATGAAATTTTTCTTCCAGTGACCTTGAACTTCCCTAAATGACCTTGGGTCAAGGTCATGACACACCCTTAGGTCATGTGCAATCTTTGTGTAAAATTAGAACCTACCAAGTTTATCCATAAGAAAGATATGTACCAGACACGAATTATGAAATTTTTCTTCCAGTGACCTTGAACTTCCCCAAATGACCTTGGGTCAAGATCATGACACACCCTTCGGTCATGGGCAATCTTTGTGTGAAATGAGAACCTTCCAAGTTTATCCATAAGAAAGATATGGACCGGACACGAATTATGAAATTTATCTACCAGTGACCTTGAACTTCTGAAAAAGACCTTGGGTCAAGGTCATGACACACCCTTGGGTCATGGGCAATCTTTGTGTGAAATGAAAACCTACCAAGTTTATCCATAAGAAAGATATGGACCGGACACCAATTATGAAATTTTTCTTCCAGTGACCTTGAACTTCCCCAAATGACCTTGGATCAAGGTCATGACACACCCTTAGGTCATGAGCAATCTCAGTGTGGAGTAGTAGATTCTAATGTCCCTCTGTAAGAAAGATATGGACCGGACACGATTGCACAGACAGACGGACAGACAGACAGACGGACAAGGTGATTCCTATATACTCCCCCAAACTTCGTTTGCGGGGGGTATAATTAAGACATAACAAGGTTCGCTAGCAAATGTGTAACTATTAAGAAAATGTAATTTATATCATAGGGATAGATGCACAGACTTGTCAAGATGTAAATGACTGTACCACAGAGTACGAATCCGCTGAAGCAGTAGCCGGACAAAACCAGGGCAAATTATGCAAGTAAGTCTATCTTGTTTCAATGCACTCTCCTTTTTATGAAAGTGATTTTTTTAAATAAAACGAGATAAGCCTTTTATGATTTTTAGAGTAGGATTTTACACATATAGCATCCCTTGTCTATGAATCTACACTATAGAGAAGAATTCCCCATAGGAAAAAGAATCGACCGCTACAGCCAAATTTCCTCCTCTAGAGTCGAGTTCTTAATTGTACACGTAGGTATTAATTGAGGGGACATTTTGGCTAAAAGTTATGAAAAATGTAAGATTTTAAATTGGTCAAAGTGTATTTGACACACATAAATACCCTATTTATGTCTACTTCTAAGGAAGGGCACTATCATAAAGGAGACCAGAAAAGCCTTCCCCCTTCTCTTCTTTTCCTTGAGTAGAATTTCCTTTCCCTTATAAAAGCGTATATTGTATCTATATTGTTTTTAAAAACGACAGGGACAAACCTTTGGGTAATAGTTGAAATGAAGTTAGCGGATTTTAAATTGACCAAGATGTATTTGATAAACACAATTGCTTCTTGTTGCCACTTTTAAGGTAGAAGTGTAAAATTCATCCTAAATTGTTCTCCTGTCCTTTTCTTAGAGTGGAATTTCCTTTATCTTGTAACAACTTAATTGTCATCAGATTTTAATGAAAACAGGATGTATTTAAGAAACACGAATGCCCTATTTGCTCACTTCAAATCAAGAGAATTAATAGAAACTGGATGTATGTTATAAACACAAATGCCCATTGTTTGGACATTTTTAAAAAAAAATACTGTTAAGGCAGACATGAAACACACAAGCTACATGTAGTTTCAGGTAACCATGGTTTACACGAAATAAAACAATTATATTGGGGGGATGTACAAGGAACTATCATGTTTGTTTCAAGCTTCTTTTCACTTTCTGTTTATTCTCTTTTATTTGATTTTTGCTACAGGGCTGTCAATGTTTACATAACATGCCTGGAGGCTGCGGGAAAGAAATGTAACATTGACGTCACACCCACATTAGAGGCCGCGGAAGAGACTTTGATTCAGTTTTGTACAACATCAAAAGGTAGAATCACAGGCCTTTGGATCGCTTAAAAAAATTGTCTGTGTAAAAAAAAAATTAAAGGTACTGAACTCTTACACTGGGTACCTAATTTCGCTAATAGAATATTTTTTTATTTTAATGCTCTAAAATTCTACTTTCTATTTAAATCTATTCAAAGATAAACATTCTTCAATTCTACCAAAGCTCATTCCGAAATTCCATATATTTCTTGAGATATTCTGAAATCAATTTCATAAATGACCTACTTTCTTTTACTCGACATTAGCTTGGGCCCCTGGTCATTTCCCATGTAAACAGACGGTGTTTGAAGTGCGACGAAGAGTTGCATAGTAGTTGCAAAATCTTTTAACAATTTAAAGTTAACTTCTTGCTCCAGATTGTAACGTTAAGTCTGTAATAATATTCCTTTCGCGAAAAATTAATTTGAAAACGTTTACATCAACAACTACCGCCATGTTGATTATGAATGTAAATGAAGCCATGGTAGAACGAATTTTTCCCGGAATGCATTATATACCTTTCGATTTTCAAAACAATTAGACAGCTATAATGTTGTTTATGACTTTGTTACACCATATGATCAAATTAAAGAAAAACCTTGTAAAGCTTGAATGAAAATGAGCAAATATTCATTGAGTTTAGAATCAAATCCGGGGAAAATTTGTCCCGTCGTTCCCGCTTTACAATTAGTGAAGGCCCAAGCTGATGTCGAGTAGAAAAATTATTGTCAATTTAGGAATTGATTTCAGAATATCTCGAGAAGTATAAGGAATTACGGAATGAACTTTGGTAGTAATGAAGATTGTTTATATTTGAATAGATATGGATAGAAAGTAAAATTGTAAAGCATTTGATTTAAATAAAATTTATTGGCGAAAGTAGGTAACCCATGAAGAGTTCCATACCTTTATTTTTTTTCAACACCTCAATTTTTTTTCTAAGCGATCTAAAGGCCTGTGGGTAGAATATGACGATTTTTATATGTAACAGCTGTATAGCATCAGATACTGTAAATTCCCTATTTTTCGAGAATATTTATTATCGCGAATGGGCTCTTCAACGTCAAATCGCGAGAATAATAATTCACGAATGGACGGTTGCTCAAAAGATTTTAAATGGATTTCAGCACCATAAAAATAAAGGCGAGTAATTTTACTTCGCGTGTGGTGCTTCTAGCGAAATTAGGCGATAATTAATTCCATGCGTATATTTAGGAATCTACAGTATTTATATCCACTGAATATTATTATTACCCCCCGCTTGAAATGCGGGAGGGTATATAGTAATCGGATTGTCCGTCCGTCTGTCTGTTACGGTTTGGAGTACTCTCTATCTTACCCGCAATCCTCTGATACCACTTCATGAAATTTGATGAAACTTTCAGAGAATCTTTATTACATAATGCAATTGTGCACCTCTTATTTTACCTTTTGATCCGACTTATATTTTAGGTTTTCCATAGCAAAACAAGGACACTGCTATCATATTCATATGGGAGGCGGGGGTGTCATTTAGTGAGCTCATTTCTCACAGTATCTCTAGGTTCCGTTATTTCTTATGAAGACAATTATCGTTATTCAGTCCACAAAGAATACAAAGCCAGCCACGTACAAAGATTTCTTGAAACATGGCTGTTCCCTCAATTATGCATACAATGACATATACGTGTATAATACAATATTAAAAATGTAATTTTACTTTGAATGTTTATTTTCATAGAGATGTAAATATCAACAAAATGTTTTACTTTGGTTGTTAGTACGGAATTAACATCGCAGCTTTTGCAGAAAAAAAGACAAGATGTTTGTGAAACACTGATCTCTCTCCCCCCCCCCCCCCCATGGCAACATAGCGGAGATAAAACATTTTCTTAAATGCAAACAAAATATGTTATACCAAAAGAATGGTCTCGTGACAAGGGATAAGCATGTGAAATATGAAAGTCATAGCTTCACGAAGTCAAAGTTTATTGGCAGTGTTAGATTTTTTGAAGACGAACACACAGACAGACTGACGGACGGACACGACAAAAATTATATACACCGAATCTCCGATTACTGGGGCATAAATACATTATACACGTAATTGGGTTATGTATTTCTTTTCTACAAAAAGCTGCGACATTAAATCCCGTATTTTGTTAGGAAAACGTTCAATTGTTTAAATTAATTCCTGATATACCAGTGTGATAAACATTTATTATAGACAAAGGCTAAATATGAATGAAATAAAAATGTCCAAGATGTAAGATATGTTCTCTAGATATATGTTTACGTACATCGTTGTAGTTTTAATTCAGCTGAACGGCTTTTTATTTTATTTTTAGGTGGCTATGCAACACCTTTCCTTGGCTTCTTTACCATGGTTCTGGGAGTTTTGATTTTAAGATCTGTATAAATTAATGAGGAAAAATTAGGTAAAAAGAGGAAAATGCGAGTCTTTTGCGAATTGGTACATGTATTTTATTTTAACAAATAGATGGTTTTTTATCTATAATCTGTCATAAAGGACAATTTTTCTTCACACTGATTGACAGTACTTGCCACGAATGTATTTTTTCTCTATTTTTACAGTTAACTAATTTGTATTTTCGATGTCTTAAACACAGAAAAAGACAAATGATAAGAACTTTCCAAAGTTACCTTATTTCATTTGACTTTTATTAATGTTCTTTATGCTTTCTTTTCTCGCATGTATTAAAGGTAGTCTAAAATATTTGTTTTTGTGTGTGTTGAGACGCTAAAATGTGCCGTTGCAATTTTGTGCATCTGCATTACCAATTCATTTGGTGGTCATTGACTTTTAAACATCGTTTTAGAGTTGCATACTTAGGAGTTGATCAATATGTATACACCGAAAGTCTTGATGTCCCTATGTGGAATCCACTTGAGGAGAGGAATTATGACGAAATGAATCTTACTGCGTATATCCCAGTACATGCTGGCACAAAAGGTTCAATCGCCAGTGGTCTCGAACAGGACGTAAAAAACAATTAATCAATCACCAGTTTACAAGTCATTATCTTCAGCCTTCAACGTATTTTTGTTTTTTAATTGATCATGTATCGTTAGATTTGCATTGAACAACGCAACCCGATCAAAATCGCGATGAAATATCTCTAAGGGGTCTTGACCTTATAATAAGAGAGATAACTTGCAAATTACAAAATATAACTACTCATAGTTTTTTTTATCAGAGTTTCCTATTTGAACCTTTGAGTACTCAATTCGCTGAATCTATCACATTATGGAAACATTACCTTCTATTTCTGTTGCCTAAGTCTTCCTAATTGTTTATTATATTTAACAATAAAACATTTAAAACCAAGTTCAAAAGCCTTATTAATTGAATGAATTTTAACTTCTTAGGGACCATTTTAAAAATGGTTTATAGTTACAAGTACATAAAACAGAATTTTGATTAGTATTTTTTTAATGGACAAATAATTAGAAAAAGGTAACACAGATGTGATACAGATGTACTTTTCTCACAACCACATACAACAGTGTGATATTCTGACTAAGGAAGCATCGCTTTATGAAGTTTTGTAAGATGCATTTAAGGGGGCCGACTATAGTTTTATTGTGTGAAAACTACAATAGCGAAACTCTTCATTTTTGTACCATATATAATTTACATTCACTTCAGTGTACATGCAGAGTTTGAGGGAAATCTACCGTCCAGGTATTTTTGAGGGACCGTCTCAAAATACAGGTACATTTACTATAGGACTATACGAGAAAATGCCAATTTTTAGCACTTTAAAGCAAATTATACAAATACTACAATAGACATTTTGTTCAAACTATAATATTTGATGAGTATTACTATATTATACAATATATGTGAGAAACACAAATACTACCGTCTTGTTACCAGAGGGGCATCTCAAAATACAAAAAAATTAGCAAATTTTACTATTTTATAGAGTATTACAAAATATGACGTACACAATGGATTCACGTGAAAACATAATAAGAATATTGGAGATATTCTCAAATTTCTATGTTTTAAATTTCAAGAGCGTATGTTTATTACTTTTTTTAAATAATATTTTTATTACCCCTTTCTTTAAGAGCTACAGATTATCATAACGTCAAAAACACACTGCAACGACGTCAACATACCTATCAATTGCAAAATCGGTTAAGAAATTAGTTATATCAAATTGTAATTACATTTTTATACCTATAATTTCTTAATTTTGTTTAATTTTAATAAATAAGTGAAAAAAGTTGCATTAAAACAGTAAATACGCTTCATTTTACTATGATGCGCGAAATATTGCGCAGTGGAAACTATAGTCGGCCCCCTTAATTGGTATGATACTAAGTATTAATTTCATATACACCTCATATTTTAAATTTTATGCTGTGATAATAAACCGTTACTCTTTCTGCTCTCTGTGTTGAAATTTCTTCATATCATGATCTGACATAAAAAGCATTTCTGGAAAAAAAATAAGTAGCGCTTCATACTTTAAACTATTTTTCATGTGGCTCTAATGTTATTGCTGTTTATGAAAATCAATATTAGATATTTCAAATTATCTTGATGAAATTTGTAGCAGAGGCTCGGGACCCCTTAAGATGAAAATTGAGATATTTTCATTCATTTTAAGGAGCTACCATATGTACACCAGCGATCAATGTTAATTATGAAGAAGGGGATGGGAGGGGGTACAGCGAAAAGCAAACAAACCACCAAAAAAAGTTGTTGGTTGCCCTCTTTCGACCGACTGACTAAAAATGGCGCGAGTCATTTTTTTTCTTTTTTTTTACATTGCAGGAAACGATTTTTAAAAAAAATTATTTCCGTCAAAACATATGATGAACATTTTTGAAAAAAAGGATATTCCCACCTAAATGAACCTACTGATGCAATTATTTTACCCCAAGTTAAGAGGGCAACAAAACATTTTTTTAAAGATTGTCTGACAAAAAAAAAAACATTAAAACATAATTAAATTAAAATGAACAAAAACCCGACAAGACTGTTCGTAGGCAGGGGCTCAGGGGGTTTATTTTTGATAATTATTTTAACTGTTATTAAATTATTCGGAAAAGGTTTGAAATGTTGTGAACTTGCAACAAAAGAAAAATCGGGGGGGGGGGGTCTGTTCGAAATAACAGAAAAAAGTGAAATATTAGGGTATGGAACAGTTATCAAAGTTTAACATCATAAAACATATTGTTGGAAGATCAGACTCGGACCCGTGAAAACAAAGATCAGAGGCGATGGAGGAGAGAGATCCTAATGTCAACGGTATCATCCGCGTTATTTTCTTTGCATTTATTTGGTAAGCAGCGAAATCCGTCAATAATACAGAAAAAACAAATATTTTATAAGACAATTGATAATTTCAATATTTTCTGTCAAGTTTTTTTTTGCAATCATTTATATTGCTAAGACAATTTTATAGAATTGAATAAATCCCCTAAAATAATTTGATTGCTTAAAATATTTAAAAATATCAACCTTCTTGGTTGACTTTAAATCATTGACCTACACTTCCTTCTATTTCGTATTATAAACATAACTTTTAAATACCAAATTACTACTCTGCTGCGAGGTATATATGTATTAAAATAAAGTTGATAATCTCTTCACTTCTAATATTTCAGAAACGTTGGTTTAGGTAAGATAAAGAGACTGATATAAAATAAGATTTAAGTACGCAGTTAAACAGATATACCTAGTACTTAACTCCACACTAAACATGAAGTGGATAAGGATACGGGATCATTGAAATATCACTTATCTCAAGAGTTCGCCATTAAATGAAAGTTACTGTGAATTAAAATCTTCCGAGTGGTGACGATCAGAAGAGTATCAGTAAAATCATGTATTAAGCATTTGTGTTCGTTGCTTTAAACACAGAATAAAACTAGGCCAGTCAGTTATATCTGAAGGTCGACTGAAATTTGAACTGTTATTTATATGGAACCGGCTCTAAAACGAGTTAACAAGAGGCTCACATTGCTCAGCTGAGAAACTTTCTATGCTATTCTTTACATGTACCAGATTCTCTTTTATAATACCTACTGTGATTGAGCAGTGTTTTCATATGACAAAAGCAAATGGAGATTCTTTAAATTAACGTGTTTATCAAACTTTCATGCCTGTGATCTCTTTCTGAACCTTATATGAAGACAAGTGCACAGAAAACATATTTAACAAGATTATTAAAAGAATTTGTGTTCCCAACTAAAAAAGACGAGTTTGCGCGATTTTGGGGGTGGGGTGGGGGTGAACACTTTCAGAAGAGATTGGTGGGTCAAATTAAATGATTGTATAAAATTAAACAACATACTAACAGAATGAATGAATTTTTGACCTGATAGTTTAACAATTTCACCTCCGAAATTGGGATCTTTAAACACATAGGAAGTTATAGTACAAAATTTCAGTGAAAAAACTCATAGGCTTCTCGATACATGTATATCACTTGGAAATGACAGAATTAATAATCTTTACGTTTTGGGCTCTAAAAAAAAATAGGTAACTTCCTTAGGCTATATAAAGTGTAAAATTCTATCTCAAAAGCTAGATATCTCGCAGAAACGAAGGTGTTACAGAAAAATATAAATTATGGCGGGCAGACAGACCGAAATTAATACCCCCCTCCCACTTTATGAAAGGGGAGTACAAAAAGAAATGAAATTATACAGTATAGTTTGTCATAAAGCAGTTGTGTTGTTTTAAGGATTTTTGATTGATTAAATTCCTTAGAATTATTTTCAAATATACTGACAAATATATTTATATTGTATCACACATTATTTTTAATACTTTGTGTGAAATAGGAAGACAGTATCTTACCCATGATTAACAATAGGCCCAAGGGCCTTGAATCGCTCTTCTGATAAATTGTACAACCTATCACTTGTATTTGAAGCCTCTAACCCTAAGTATCCTAAAACCCAAGTTGCATCAACTGATAAAAAGTTTGATGATTCTTAGCCAATTAGGACTGAAGATATTTTAATAAAGCTATAAAAGAAACATGAGTAGGTCACGGTGACCTACTTTAAGAATGAAGTTTTCTGAGGACTCAAGATGCATTAATAGACAAGCTAAGATTGAAGATTCTAAGCCAATATGTATTATGAGATATTCAAAAGTAGGTCACCTTGACCTACTTTTTGGTCTACATTCTTGGAAAACCCAAGATGCATCAACTGACAAAGTTTGATGATTCTAAGCCAATAAATACCTGAGATATTCAAAAGTATATCACCGTGACCTACTTTTTGGTCCATATTCTCTGAAAACCCAAGAGGCATAAACTAACAAAGTTTGATGATTCTAAGCCAGTAAGTACCGGAGTTACTTGAATATAGCCATAAAATGTCAAAAGTAGGACATCGTGACCTACTTTTTGGTTGACTTTCTCCGAAAACCCAAGATGCATCAACTGACAAAGTTTGATGATACTAAGCCGATAAGTACTGGAGATACTTATATATAGCGATTAAAGGTCAAAAGTAGGTCATGGTGACCTACATTTTGGTTGAAATTTATCAGAGGCCCAAGATGCATCTGCTGACAAAGTTTGATAATTCTAAACCAATAAATACCTGAGATATTCAAAAGTAGGTCACCATGACTTACTTTTTGGCCGAAATTCTCTGAAAACCCAAGAGGCATAAACTAACAAAGTTTGATGATTCTAAGCCAATAGGTACCAGAGAATACTTAAATATAGCCATAAAATGTCAAAAGTAGGTCATCCTGACCTACTTTTTGGTCGACATTCTCCGAAAACCCAAAATGCATCAACTGACAAAGTTTGATGATTCTAAGCCGATAAGTACTGGAGTTACTTAAATATAGCTATTAAATGTCAAAAGTAGTTCATCGTGACCTACATTTTGGTTGACATTTATCAGAGGCCTAAGATGCATCTGCTGACCAAGTTTGATAATTCTAAGCCAATAAATACACGAGATATTCAAAAGTAGGTCACTGTGACCTACCTTTTGGTCGACATTCTCCGAAAACCCAAGATGCATCAACTGACAAAGTTTGATGATTCTAAGCCGATAAGTACTGGAGATACATAAATATAGCAATAAAACATTGAAAGTAGGTCACCGTGACCTACATTTTGGTCGTCACTCTCCGAAAACCGAAGATGCATCAACTCACAAAGTTTGATGATTCTAACCCAATAAATAACTCAGATACTGAAATATAGCCATAAAATGTCGAAAGTAGGTCAAAGTGACCTACATTTTGGTCGACATTTTTCAGAGTCCCAAGATGCATCAGCTGACCAAGTTTGATGATCATTGGTCTGAAGGTAATCAAAATATGCCTTTTAAACAATTTGAAAACAAATGCCTGCAAAATTCTAAAAGTAGGTCTCAGTGACCTACTTTTACTAAAATATGTTTTAAGGTCCCAAGATGCAGCAACTAACAAGATTTGATGATTCTAACCCTCTCAGTGTCTGAAATAATGGGATGAAATGTTTTAAAAAGGATAAGTCATAAAGTTCAAAAAGTAGGTCACGGTGACCTACTTTTAAGTTGACGTTGTTCAAGGACCCAAAATGCATCAACTGACAAAGTTTGATGATCATGGGCCTTAAAGTGTCCAAAAATATGCCTTCAAATCAATTTGAAAACAAATGCCCGCAAAATTCTAAAAGTAGGTCATCATGACCTACTTTTGAGTGTGATGATGATGAAGTCCTAAGATGCATCAACTAACAAGATATGATGATCCTAGTCCTTATAGTAAGCAAAATATAGACATTTTCATTAATTGTAAATTTAGGTCAACTTTGAAGTGACCTTGAGACCACGCCCTTTGCCCCAGGGTCAGGCCTTGAACAATTTTTAATCTTCAACATATCCGGATCATTGTATGTAAGTTTGGTGAAAATCTGCCTCGTGGTTCTGGAGAAGATTTTTTTGCAACCAGTACTTTTGGTTTTGTTTTCCTGATTATCTCCCCTTGTTTATGGTCCCAACCCTTATTTTAGTATAAATGGTAGCCCTTGGGCCAAGGATACCCTGTGACAAATTTGACACTGATTGGCCAAGGGGTTCTTGAGTTATGGCCCATATTCTAAAAAGTTAACGCACACCGCACGACGCACATGCTCCGCACAAATGGCCATAGCATTAGCTCTTTGAGCCTTTGGCTCAGAAGAGCTAATAAAAATGAAATAAAAAGGGATTCATTTAATAATATACACAAATTTTAAATACATATAAATACATTTTCTAAAATAGATATCAGAATATTCAAAGCTCTTCATTGTCGATCTTTTAGTCTGAAAAAATAAGATAAAAAATGAGAATTAACAATGCTCGAATATCAATTTTTTTCCAGGTACATTCTAAGGCACCGTTTTTTCTTTAGATTCTGTGACCTCGTTTGTCTGTTTAAAGTCCAAAATATGTTCTTATAACCATGACCAGGATACACCGGACAAGAGTTCTAGAGCCATTTGCAGACGACTTTGAAGTATCTGAAGTTCCTGTGACATTAGCTGAAGAATAAAACTGCATATATAGGCATAATTTTATGTATGAAGGATAAAGAGATAATGAACAGTATTCAATATCAATGTCCATAAAACAACACGAAATAGGAGCAGAGCAAACACGGACCTCCAAAATATCAGAGATGGGATCAGGTGCAATGGAGGAAAGAGCATCCCCTGCCGACTGGTCACACTCCAATAAACTCCAAATTTTGTTAAAAGAGAAGAGACATGCTTTACATGACTAGGCCATGAGCTTCTATTACAATTTTACAACAACGCCTTCGCGTGAAATTGTTTACATTGATTTTAGTGATTTTCAATGCGAAGTTCACTTATAGGGGACCAAAAATATTACTACTGTCTCGTGGGAAAAATAAAAATTCTCAGAGACTGTATACTGGTGTGTACTTGTTAGAAAGTTAAATGCATTTTTATATAAGCAACTTGTGTATCAAATTCTAATATAATAATAAATAAAAATATATTTTTATAAAAATGAAATACATTCATAATCACCACAGTAACACCGGAATCAACGATATGTTTATGAAGCAATTATCCCCCCACAATGAATGTAAACTACAAATATTACAAAATACAAATAAAAGGAATTTTCCAAGGCCAAGAGACATAACTCTGTCAAAAATTGCTTTATTGTATAGAGCAAATGTCCTAGATATTTGTTAAAAAAATAAAGTATACCAAATATCATTGCAATATATGTATATTCTGTCAAAATTTGATCCATCGATTCGAAACATTACCTGATATAGATATTCTCATGATTAATATTTATACCATATTTCATATTGCTATATGCAACCTCTGCTTATAAAATGAACGGAAACTGTTGGTGGATTGATGACAAACAGATATAGACAGCAGCAAAGCGCCTTCCCCTTTTCGAAAGTTGGACCAATTCTATAGGAGTTTCGTAGGGTTACTTCATAATGTAACTCTCCTTAGATCTATGACCAGTGCAGGTGATTAAAGTATGGATGAAAAAAGGAGGGAAATTACATATGAATCTTTATATCTTGGTGAGGTTGGTCAGAGTCAGAAGCAATGAATTTCAATCTTTTGGACTTGATCCTGCCTAACTCGTTTTTTAATGATTTTGATATTTCACGTGACAGAATATTATCAAAACCGGTGCCATTTTTAAAAGTGCAAATTCTCCACTCCAAGTGGAACATCACTTCGATATTTGCAAATAGATATTAACTGTAAACTCACAAATTATGCCTTATGAAAATTTAGATGATTTATCAGGAGTTTCAAAGTGCATGGAATTAAGTTAACAGAATGTTTGTGTTCTAAGTAGAAAACAGACCAGTTAGCAAGGGCCCCGCCATTGGGTTGAATTATTAAGGATGCAGCTTACGGAATGATTAAAAAATATACGATGAATAAGCAACAGCAACTGTATTCTTAAAATTTCAAGATAAATCCTGAATATCCAAAAACCTGTAAATAAGATCCTTGTATTTACTTAGGCAGTTAAGAACAACTTAACATGGAATGTATTATATATAAAATGCCAGCCTTCATTGAATGCTAATATCATGAAGGCTTGACCTTAACTTCAAAACAATCAGCAGACAAAGATTTTCATTCATTTTAAAGTGACAGATAAAGAAAAGCCTACTAAATTTTCAGCAGCAGGCTGATAATTAATCCCAAGGGATTAATTTTACCTCTTTCATCATTTTCTTTTTAAGTTACAATAAGAACTTTTTCAGTATCAATGATAGAATTGGGGTTTTATCCAACGTGAACGACCTTAAAAATTAATAATATTCCTGAATTTACATAAAGGAAAAAAAGTAAGAATAAGAAATATGTCTTCTTTAATCTATTTCTTGTTTTTACAATTCAATAAAATCAAACCTTATTGTGTAGGGTATTTTTAACAAAATTAAGTATAAACATTTATATTTAAACCCACATTTCAGAGTGTTCATAGCATTCCTAATTGACTAAACTTCAAAACAAACTTCATTTGCAGAGAGGTGGTAATTAATCTCAATGTGACAGATAAAGATGATGCTTTGGATTTTCTTCTGAAGGAAAGCTTATAAATCCCAAGGGACTCCTAACAGCATTGAGTTTATGGGAACATTTATCTCTCTTTGCCAATGCATATTTCATACTAGATCATGGCATAACATAATGTGCGAAAAGTCTTACTTTTATATGGACATTTAGCTTTGTCAAAACCACACTTAGGAGTATCCGGTGGCGGCGAATTTATGTTTCCAGCCCAATGAATCTTCTTGGATGGAATTGGCACGTATTTGTTAACGTTGCCAAAGAAATAAGCCACCACCTGTTAAAAAAATATCTCTCTTGCGCTTAATTGAAAAAAAAATACAAGAAAGACACATTTAAAAAAAAAACATGAAGAAAAAATAATTAACTGACGTCAATTGTTTTAAATAATGGAAATATTTGATTGTCTGCCTAGACTTTGTTAATTAATCATTAAAGGGTCTATTCTTTTCTAAAAAGATTGATTTATACTGTTTAACGTCCCTCTCCTGAATATTTCACTGATATGGAGACGTCACCATTGCCGGTGAAGGGCTGCAAATTTAGGCCTATGCTCGGCACTTAGGCCTTTGAGCAGGGAGGGATCTTTATCGTGCCACACCTGCTGTGACACGGGGGCTCGCTTTATACGGTTCATCCGAAGGACCGCCACAATTTGTCGCCTTTTACGACAAGCAAGGGGGTTACTTTAACCCGGATCCCACTGGGTTTTCTAAAAAGAAAGGGATGGTATTACATACGGACTCATATTCAAACAGAATGCTAAATATATTACATCAATACTTTTCTAAAACAACAGTACAATTATTGGTTAAGATATCTTTTAACTTCTTCATAAATTGGAGTTTCAAATACTTCATATTAGGCTTGATATACTTGCCTCAAAATTTCCTGACACCGGGTCCAAGTCTAGAAGAGAAAAATCGGAACTTCTGTTTCCATTAACGTCAATGCTAACAGTACCGGTAATACCTTGTAATTAAAAAAAAGACAAAACAACACCGGCCATTCGACCATTTAATTCTGAGGTGAGGGATCAGTACTATAGGATAAATCAAAGATCAGTTATCGATTAGCAAGAAAAAAATCTATCTATTGACTAACGTATGTGGAGAAAGAATATCTTATAACTTCCGATTTAGCATCGATTTCTATATTGTCGATTTCACAAGGAACCGCTTCGAAGCTCTCTATTGCTAAGAAGGTAAGAAAATCATAAAGATCTTGTAAGCGCTTTGAAGCACCCAATCTCCTTCAGAAAATAAGTGCTAAAATGAGAACAACAATGTAAACAATGAATATGGGGATGTGGGGATCGAGAAGAAGGTCCCGCCGAAGTAATTTAAACAAGTCGTTAATATTTTGCAACAGGATCATTCATATATGTAACGAGTAAATATGTGTTTGTTTATTCAATATACTGTATACAGAGAAATTTTCGCCCCTTTCGCCCTATCCTCATTTGGGCGAATTCAAAGAATACAGGATAATTTCTTAAACAAAACTACGACTGGGCGAATTTAAAACGGGGCTAAATTGTTTGTAAGTATGAAAGGGCGAAAATAACACGGGGCGAAAATAACCCGGTATACAGTATATGCACTTAACAGGAAAGATACGACGTTGATTAATATACCTGTCACTTTTTGAATAGTATCAGCAGATTTTATTTGCCTTTCCGTGATTTTCCGTGATAAAGGTATAAATGAGTGTATTAAACAAATTGATGAACATATTAATTAAAACGATATAATTTAGTTTCAGTTGCAACACGTCATTTGATTGAGTAAGTGGTTTTTTTCCATTTTGTATAACATATCTTGTCCACGCCACAATGAGTTACGTCAAAAACGTATTACTCCGCTGGACGTTAACTTTTAAAATATTTGAAGCCGAAGGAACAAATGGAAAAATTGTCTCATTGTCTACAAAGAAATTAAATTGTGGGGAATGAAGCTTGATTCAACTTATGTTATACGATATGAAATAAATTGGGACTGTTTACGCTTTTTTTATAAACCGCTTCTTGGGGAAACCTTCATAAATAATCTGTTTGCTGCGCTGAACCTCCCATTTACACTGTATATCTCCAACAACTTAAAAAAGAAGAAAAAGAAAACCAGGCCGTATATTTGAGCCAGTTGCAGATAGGAATTGTGATGTATTAATCACAGATGAAAAAGAGAGGTATACCACCATGAATTTTTACTGTCTGTTCATTTTTATGCTTTATTATGTTCCCCAAACGAAGTTGGGGAACATATTGTTTTTACTCTGTTTCTTATTATTAGGTCTTTCCACCTTTCTGTGGAAAGACCTATTGAAATGCTTATGTTTTTTATTATTAGGTCTTTCCACCTTTCTGTGGAAAGACCTATTGATTTCCTTCTGTTTCTTTTTTTCCTTTTTCTTATTATTTTTTATTATTTTTCCGCCGTGTGATTTTGAGTTTCAAGATTTATCGTAAAGATTTTCAATTCATAAGAATGTACTCCATAAAAGATTTTCGCAGTTGACCCTGCGTATATAAACTACGACCCCTTTCGGAGTTATTACCCCTTTCGCAAAAAAGCTTGTTATCGCTACTCCTCCCAAACCATAAACCGTAGAGAAATGAAACCTTCACTAATGTCTTCGACTAATTTAGTAGACACTTCATTGATTCATTGCGAAAGTATTCATTGACCCCTTCAATAAGTTATTGCCCCTGGAAGTTTTTGAATTTTACAAATAATTAAAAATTTTCAAAAAAGATAATTTGTAGAGACATGGGACCAAATGCATAAGATTTATTGACCTTTGGTCTTGAGATTTATGGAAAGGTCAAAGGTCAAGGTCATTCCAAAGCTGAGAAATTTTGCTCTTTTTATATCTCTTCTGTCTTTTAACATATACTTAATGTCTATGCATCATTAATATGTACTTTTAAAACAGTTTCAAAGATTTTATTCTTGTCCCCTAACATGAACCCATTTAAAAGTTATTGCCCCTTGTGCGAAAAACCTTGTTATCGCTACTCCTCCAAAACTTTAGACCGTAGAGACACCAAACCTTCACTAATGTCTTAAGGGTCTTTAGACCTAACTTCACTGTATAGGTGCAAAAGAATCTGATGACCCCTTGTATGAGTTATTGCCCTTTAACTTCTTTATACTTACTATTAAACCTTGTATCTTGAAAACTATAAATGGTAGAAGCATGGGGCCAACTGCATACTCATGACCTTTGACCTTGAATATTTTGTCAAGGTCAAAGGTCAAGGCCATTGCAAAAATGAGAAATTAAGCTCTTTTTATATATCCTTTGTCTTTTAACATATGCAATCAGTCTTTGCATCATTAATATGTACACTTAAAACTATTTCAAAGATTTCATTCTTGTTCCCCAAGATAGACTCTATCAAAAGTTATTGCCCCTTATGCGAAAAACATTGTTATCACTACTACTTCAAAACTGTAGACCGTAGAGGCATGAAACCTTCACTTATGTCTTAAGGGTCTTTAGGCACACCTTCATTGTATAAGTACTAAAGGATCTAATGACCCCTTATATGAGTTATTGCCCTTTAACTTCTTTATACTTACTATTAAACCTTTTATCTTGAAAACTATAAATGGTAGAAGCATGGGTTTAATTGCAATGTGTCCCTTGACCTTTGACCTTGAAATTTTTTTCAAGGTCAAAGGTCAAGGTCCTTTCAAAAAAAAATTTTTTTTTACATTTTCATTTTTTTTTTCAAGCCATTTCCCTTAAAATTAAATTTAGAGTGTAAAATATAAAACTAGAAGAAATTTAAAAAGGTGGAAAGACCTCTTATTGTTCTATGAACAATAAGTCTCCTAGTTCTATTTCTCACCTTATGTTTTGACACCGTAAGACTTATCGAAAAACTTTATAGTTCATGATACTGGATATTTAAAGTTATTCCGAAAAATGACCCCCCATATTTTAACTTAGACCCCTTACGCAGTTATTGGCCCTTTAACCGTTAAGCTTGTTATCGCTACTCCTCAGAAACCGTAAACCGTAGAGATATAAAACCTTCACCATTGTCTTCAACTAATGTAGGAGACTTTTCAATCTATTCATTGTGAAAGTTTTCTTTGACCCCTTCAATGAGTAACTGCCCCTGAAAGTTTATAAAGTTTACAAAAAATTAAAAATTTTCAAAACGAAAAGTCGTAGAGACATGAAACCAACTGCATAACATTCAATGACCTTTTGCCTTCAAATTCATTTCAAGGTCAAAGGTCAAGGTCATTCCAAATATGAGAAATAAATTTCTCTTAATAGCTCTTGTGTCCTTAAACATATACGATCTATCTTAAGTCTTTAATATGTACTTTTGAAACTCTTTAGAAGATATAAATCTTGGCCCCAAAGATTGACCCTTTTAAAAGTTGTTGCCCCTTGTGCTAAAAACCCTTGTTATCGCTACTCCTCTGAAACCGTAAACCGTAAAGGTATGAAACCTTCACCAATGGCTTTGCCTAATTATGGGGACTCTTCAACCTATTCATTGCGAAAGCATTCAGTGACCCCTTCAATGAGTTATTGCCCCTGAAACTTTTTGAATATTACAAATAATTAAAAATTTTCAAAACGACAAAACGTAGAGACATGGGACCAACTGCATAAGATTCATTGACCTTTGACCTTAAAATTCATGTAAAGGTCAAAGGTCAAGGTCATTCCAGAAATGAAAAATTTAGCTCTTTTTATATCTCTTTTGTCTTTTAACATATACTTTATGTCTATGCATCATTAGTATGTACTCTTAAAACTGTTTCAAAGATTTCCTACTTGTCCCCTAACATTAACCCCTTTAAAAGTTATTGCCCCTTGTGTGAAAAACCTTGTTATCGCTACTCCTCCGAAAGCGTAGACCGTAGAGACACCAAACCTTCACTAATGTCCTCAGGGTCTTTAGGCCTAACTTCAAAGTAAAAGTGCAAAAGCATCTGATGACCCCTTATATAAGTTATTGCCCTTTAACTTCTTTGTACTTACTATTAAACCTTATAACTTGAAAACTATGTCATAGAAGCATGGGGTCAATTGCACTGTGACCCCTGACCTTTGACCTTGAATATTTTTAAGGTCAAAGGTCAAGGTCGTTCTTTCTTTTTTTTTTTTTTAAATATTTTTATTTTTTTCTATGGTTTAAGAGAGTTTTGGTTTCTTTTTCATGGAATTTAATTTTTAAGTGTCAGATATGAAACAAATTTGAAATTCAAAGAAGGTGGAAAGACCTCTTATTGTTCTGTGAACAATAAGTCTCCTAGTTATTATTATTTTTCTTCTTCTTCCTGGGTACTTTTTTGTCCGGGAATGATCTCCTAAACTACACAACTGACTAAGGTGAAATGTTTTTAGGGTCAGTAGACATGTTATGTAGATTTGCGGAACGAAAGTCATTTTGCGCGCACGTGCTTGCAAGAGCGTGCACGTGCAACATGTGAAATGACCGATTTAATTGATATAGGCGAAACTTTTAAAATTTTTGATGAAATGCTTTGAAACTTATAATATAAGGATATATTAGAAGCATAGACAATATGACATGGTCAATATAGCAAGATCTCACGCGCATGCACGTGCGCTTCGTTCTGACTGGCTGAAAATAAAGTCTCAATATCTTTCTTCTTTTTTGACGAAATCCTTTGAAATTTTGAAAATAGTCATGAATTAATATATCCTACAACATGACATATAGCAATTATCATGAAAACACGTGCATGCACGTGCGCTGCAATCTGATTGGCTTAAACTTTAAATAGCTATAACTCCCTTGATTTTCAACCAAACAGGATGGGATTTGGAACATAGATAGATATACTGGACTACTACAAGAAAGTAAGGTCACCATGCACATGCACACACGTGCATGTACGTGCACTGCAATCTGATTGGCTGAAACTTTAACAGCTATAACTCCCTTCGTTTTCAACCAAACGGGGTGAGATTTAGAACATAGATAGATGTAACGGACATCTACAAGAAGATATGGTTACCATGCTCATGTATGCACGTGCGTGCATGTGAAATGAGCAAAATCAGAAAAACACTTGAATGAGCCTATCTTTTTAATACTTTTGGATTAAATACTTTAATATTTAGTATATTTAAATATATAGATTGTGTATACAAGATGATATGGTCATTACGCACATGCATTCACATGCGCAGGCGTGCAATGCTAAAATTTGAATGAACTTTGTACACTTCTGGGCAAACGTTGTTAAAGTCTCAAATGCATCGAGTTTGTCTTATTTAATGAAGCTTACAGGGAATATGGCACCAAAAGGGAGTTGGGGAGCGTTTGGGGAACATCTGTAACGGTCCCCGTTACAATTAGCACTAGTTATTTTTGGAATGAATACTAAAATTTATCAGCATGGTTTTAATAAAAGGTCTTTGACAATAGATGTGAGGATCAAGAAAATTTCACAGCTTCTCTTGATGCTGGATGGCAGTGGAAAAAATCATGCTAGTTTCCTGGTAAATGCATTACTTTTGATATTTATACTGTCAAATTTGCTTTAAGTTTAAAACTAAAAATCGTGGCATAAAGACATACATGTATGCTATTAGTGTAGCATCATATATAAAGCCATACAATCACAGGACATGCAAGCATGATTTGACATAAAACTGGCAAGATAACGCCCTTTTCTGTGCGGTTTAAAAAATGAATATCGTGTGAACATGGTGAAAATAATAAAGACCATAACTGTCGTAACAACTGGGCAGTCAGCAAAAGCCATGGAATCATATATGACAATCTAAATCATGAACTGAAAGAAAAGGGATTTCAAAAATGATGGACAATAACCTTTTTCACAAACAGGTCGTAGCTCGTAAATGTAGACGTAAAATTGAACGTAGCACTTAAGTGCGTTTCACTAAGAGTTACGATTTGCGAGTTACGATTAAAGATGATCTTAACTCTACGAGTGGTCCCATGCTCTCGTAGACAACCTCGCGTGCTCGTAAGCACAAACAATATGGCGTCGCTTATATTACTAGCAGACGAAAACGTACCTGTAAATGTGAAAAAAACTGCCTAGACAGGACAAATCCCCTTGATGTTTTGAACGATGAGGAAGTTATCGAGAGATATCGCCTTCCTCGTCATTTCCTCTATCGTTTGGTAGAGTTGGTGAGAGGGGACGTTGAGAGGCACACCAACAAAAGCCACTCTCTTCCTGCGTACACATAGGTCATATGCTTGTATACCTATGAGTGATTGACCCTTTGCAGTCCCAGCACACAACTTAAAGTAATCTCTGTTTATGAGAGACACACAGAGAGAGATAGAGACTATATTACAGGTATAATGACAGTCACCCGACCTTACATATTTCTTTAAATAAAATAATATGCCCAAGCTAATAATATGTAATGTATTTTTTTATGAAAAGAAAATTAAGTAACGTCAGGTGCCTGTGATTATAATATAGATTCTAAACATGAACAACTTTTTATTTTCAATTCATAAAAATAAGTCCTATGTCGAGGTTGATCACTTAAAAGAAAAGTAAAGAGGAACGAAGGGGGTGCCCCCCCCCCATTATTTCAGTTGTCGATATTTTAGTTGTTGATCCCCCCCCCTCCTCTGAAATGGTTTCCTATGGGCCCTTGGTTAAATGATTATACATGGCCTATACGTACGTTTCTAGTAACGCGACCACTCCTTCTAAATCGCCTTAGTAACGATGGACACTAAAAACAGATCATTCATCTGTTTAATTAAAATCGCGGTTAACTCACTCTCTCAGTTCCCGGCATATCATAAAACCTATCAATGAAAGGTTACTTGTTTTATTTCTGTACGAAAAAGTCTGAAAACCCTGTTCTGAAACTTTTAGTTTTAGGTGCTGGTGACCATAAGATACTTTGCAAAGCCTCCTTTTTCTGAGTTTGGTGACCTGCATGACATATCAAGATTAAGTGTTTCTAGTGCTATCGATCGTGCTACCAAATCAATTTGCAAAGAACTAGACAATACTTATTTCACATGAGGTTTGTGAAACAAAAATATCTTATTCTTAAAATTCTTTTTACAATGTATGAAATATATGGATATTTTTTTATTTTAACGATACATCCGCATTTGATCCTTCCATCCAAACATTTGCTAACTTTAAGCATACGCAAGAAATTACGAACAAATTATTTGAATTGAGGAAAAACAAACGGTATCAGATTCTTGGACCAAAGACTATTAAACACTTGAGCAAATGTTTTGCATATGCTGTGAAAGCTTAGACTGATTGCACCAGTCTAGAAAGAATTTAGATTCCATACCACACCTTATGTTTGGAGACCAATCATTGTGTGATATTCAGTGGTGCAAGTATATGGGAGATCAGGTTGATTACAAACCCCGGAATCTTCCATTTGGAAAACATTTATCCGAGGAGGATTTATTTGCAACTTTAAAGGCAGTATTTTCCAGCGCCAGACGAAAACAAGAAGTTAAGCTTCACTGTTTCCAACCGGAGTAATTAATGCCGATTTCCCATGAATTTCACGTTTACGGCACGAACCATTGGCTCGTGAATATTGGAATGTTGGGTGATTTATGCATCTTTAAAATCCTAAGTAAAACGATATAGAAAAAAAGGTTTATGGTTAATGCTTACCTTGAAATGATCTATTCGTCATCCTTTCAATCATTTCTGTCCCGTTAGTTATGGAACCGTTATTGGCGAAAGTCTCCTTTAAGGCGAGAGCATATAGTATAAAGGAGTCGTGAAAGGCGCCCACAAAACTGTTCACCTAAAGGAAAATCAAAGCAAGATAACGCACAAGGCAAGGGAACAAAATATCTCAAATACGAGCGTTGTTTAGAAAGTTCTTGGACTCCTAGCATACTTCTGGCAATTATTTTACGTCATATGTTATCCAAATTGGGTCTGCCCATTAGTGCGAAGGTTAACTAGTCCGATTGAGAAAAAAATACAAATTTTATATTTACATATTAACGTTTCCAGTCGTTGTCCGATATAAAATTATTGAAAATCACGTGCTGGGTGGTACAAATAAGGACACAAAAGCAGGGCTTAGAGCTTGCAGATTTGAGGAATCAAAAGCATGTAAAAATAAGAAAAAAAAACCTCTCAGATATTTGTTTCATGACGATGATTATTCGATTTGCTTACGTGATTATTGTAATCATAAACACCTTGGTCTAGTATTTGTTGGAACATGCCAAGAAATTCCGACCAGTTCCCACAGCAATGGAGTCAATAAAAGAGTTATATATGAGCAAATAACTCATATACCCTTAAAACTACATGCACCAAAACAACTAACGGCAGTAGATCTATTATTTTGTTCATTTTTCAAGTTAAATAAAATAAACTTCTACATCGAAGAAATAGCCTTCTGTACCTTAAAGAAAAGTTCTTGTCAAAAAACTTATAAAAAATTTATTTACAGAGTATGTAAATTTCACCTGCCACAGATACCAAAATTGTAAAAATAGACTGGAAAAAAAATTCAAAGCATCAAAGAATTTCATTTAATTTGGAGACCTCATTCTAGCTTTTTTCTGGTGTGAAGAGGAACCTCGGTGTATAAGGTCTCATTAGAATAACATATAGGGAAAAGTAACTACCCGTATATACATGTATGTTAAGGAATTCCCTAAAATGACTGAAAGGGACGCATCTGAAGAATCGAACAAGGGCCCGATTGTGCCTGTTAAGTTATATTAAAGAACAATTGCACAGAGCCCGACACTGCACTGAGAGAATTACCTAGTTAAACTACTTTTAAGGTAGTGATTGTAAGGACAGTGATTAGTAATAACTCTGTTTACTAGCGAAGATAGTGAAAAGTGGAGTAGTGGTCGTAAAGATACTTAAATACCTAGTGAAAGTTACTTATGAATTCTTAGATTTACTAATGTTATCTGGTAAATCTACCAAATACCTAGTAAAACTACTTTTAAGGTAGTTATTGTATGGACAGTAAATTTACTAGTCTTCCCAGTGACTTTCACTAATTATTTTTTTCAATGCATGTAAACTTTTTAACTTACTGTATTAATTGGGTTTTCGGACTAAAGAACCTTCTGCCTAGTGAGCTCTTTGAATTCAAATGATTTGTATTATTATTATTTTTAAATTATCACGATTTATTCAAAACTAATGGATTTTAAAAATGCTAAATTCGGACAGCGGAGCAGATCAATATTTACTAAGTTACAAGTATATGATAAATATAGATATTGGTGTTTGCATGATTTTTTTTTCATATTTTTATTTGATATGTGTGTCATCAAATTGATATGTGTGTCATCAACAACATTGGAACACTTTAACATGTTCTATTTTTTGTGACAGGTCTAGGAAATAAAATGTAATAATGTACGTACTTTGAATACAATAAACAGCTTCAGTTATGAAAAATTTACGATAACACTGACTGTCTAGGGTTTGTTTTCCCTATGCATCCGTCTGTCTGTCAGCAAAAGCATTAACCTTTTTCACAAATTCCGAAAGGGAGAAGCTCTGGCTTTCATATGTTACAGTAGTATTCATTGTGAAGACCTTTCTTAGAGTACCACCAAATTTGGCTTCTTGACCTTGGAGTTCGACTCATGTTTACTAAAATTACCAAACCTTAACCTTGACCACAACTTTTGATTGACTGTATATTGTTTAACGTTCCTCCGGAGAAAATTTCACTCATACGGAGACGCCGCCATTTGCCGTCGCAGATCGGTAAATTTTGTCCTATATGCGGCACTTAGAGCCATTGAACAGGATGGTATCTTTTTCGTGTCAGCACCTACTGGGACACGGGGCCTCTGCTTATAAGGTCTCATACGAAGGACCGATATACACCTCCCACAGTAGGATTCTAACCCGTCATGTAAGGATCAACTTTACGATTCCAGAGCAGACGCTCCAACCACTGCACCACGTGAAAAAATTGGTGCTAGGGTTCCGTTATTCTTCACAGGCATAATTATTGTGATGAGATAAGTTTAAGTTTTATTTACTCGTGAGTTGACCTTATAAAATGTGTTCCAAGTGGTGTAACCTCTTAAGTGAAAATAAATATTTTTACCAACATTATAAGGGAGAATATACGCACAAGTTAACAAGTGAGGATAAATCAATTATGTCTATGACCAAGAATTGGCTTAGTAAAAATTTGTTTAAAACTGATTTAATGATGATGACGTCACAAACCTCCTCCTCGCCGAAGCTACCGTATTCAGCTTGACTTTTAACTTCGTTTGAGAAACTTCTGTAGGCGAGGCTTGTAGGTTTCCTGATCGATATCGTCATCAGGGCCTCGTAAGCTTTCTTAGCCTTCCTGTTCCGCTCTAGACTGTCGTTCTCCCTATACCAAGGTTTTCCACTTTCCCCTTGACTGTTTAAACAAAACAAAGTGATATCAATTCACATATCAAAAACGTTGAGGACTGAGGCTATAAAATTAGTACTATGTAGTATGGCCTTTCAAAATTTAAAAGGAACATAAAACAACAAAAAATAAGGAAATATTGATAATTTTGGCTTGATACGTTCTTTATTTGCCAAATAAATTAAAAAAAAAACGACATTATATGATCACCCAGCGGCGGAGTAATCATCATTAATTTTTTCATCGAGATATTTTCTCGACAAGTTATCCGAGTTTTTTTCCCCGAGTTTTTCCCCCCATTAAACTATCAATGATTGTAGTTTATTCGATAAAATTTGGGTACATGATGTTGATTACTAGGGACAACATCAGAGATTTCAACAGTGTCATCCGAATATTTGTGATTGTGTTTAACCTCATGTTACACCCATAAAATACAAACCTAAATCTTCATTTATTTGCAATTCTTGAAAAAAAAATACTCTTTCCAAATATTATAATCTTTTTTCTTCAGAAAACAATGGTAGTTAATATATATTTATAAAAGTTACGGTAAACACGTTGGTTTGTTTACGGAATTTGGGGGCGTGGCTGTATCGAAGATCGATTGGTTTTAAGATTCGCGGTTCTGTAGGTTAAAATCATGCTAGGCATGTATACGTCGTATTGGGTTGTATTAAGGGTTTTCTAAGTCATTCGAAGTTTCGCTGCCTTAAGTGCAACAGCTACCAGTACTGATGTCTAAGCAAAAAAGATTTTCTGGCTGAATTCCGGCAACCTTCAGACGATGAGTGTTTGCTGAATGACGTTCCCGCTACTGCCTATAAGGATTCTTCGCAGAAATTGGATACCCCTGCGGTTATTCCCGAGACAGAGAAAGCCTCGTCAGATCTGGCCGACACTTTCAACCTGTTCAAAACCTATTTTGACTCAAAGCTGAACACTCTGAAAGAGGAACTTTCTGTTGGTAACGATTTTGATGAATTAGCTAAGAAACTCAAGAAAGACGTTTCAGTTTCTTTTAAGCACGAAGGAAATAAAATTCAATTTGAATTCAATTCTGAAATTCTGAACGATTTAGCTAAAGTACAGAAAAGGTTGTCAGTTAAAGATTCTGCTTCGTCTGCCATTATTTCTTCTGTTATTACCAAGATTAACAAGAGAAATAAGCTTATTCGTATAGCGGATAAATCACCAGCGGGTTGGACCACTGTAAGAGAATACGAGAGTGATGACCTCGCCTCTAACTCGGACGACGAAAAGCGTATGCGGCAGGCGGAGAATAGGGCGCTCAGGGCACTCAGAGAGAAACGACGATTCAAGCCTTATTCCAACAGGAATGCATCAGCGACGGTTTCTGCTCCTCCTGACCGTAGGCCTACTCCTTCTCAGCAGCCCTTTCGTTTCTCAAGGCGTCGTGAAGCATCCCCATATGACATCTGCTACAACTGTAGAAAATACGGGCACTGGAAGTCGCAATGCACAGCAACACCCAATTCAAGTTCCCAACCTCAGGCCACAAACAAGTCAAGTACCCAGTAAATCAATTGAAAAGTATGATATTTTTGTTCATGATTCAATTTTGAACGGGCAAATTGATTTGTTTCTGAATCAAGTAGATTATTTTGAAAAATTACCTGTCTACGGCAAAGGTGTTAAAGGAAACTTAGTTAAGCATGTTGAATACTGGAAAAGTATTGGTGCTAGCGATTTTGTTATTGATACCATTAATAACGGTTATGTAGTTCCTTTTCAGACGGCACCACCTCCAATGAAGTTCAAGAATAATAAGTCAGCTCTTGAAAATGTTGAATTTGTAAATAGTTCAATTTCAGATCTGTTAGAATCCGGCTGCATTGAAAAAGTTCCTTTCCAGCCTTTTATAGTTAGCCCACTTAGTGTTGCAGTTAACAAAGGTTCGGGAAAAAAGAGGCTAATTTTAGATTTGAGCGAATTGAATAAATTTGTAGATAAAAAGAAAGTAAAGTTTGAAGATTGGAATGTGGCTTTGAATTTTTTCAAAAAAGAATGTTTTCTTTTTAAATTCGATTTAAAATCAGGATACCACCATATTGATTTATGTAGGAAACAGCTGACATATTTTTCGTTTTGTTGGAATGACCAGTTTTATTGTTTCAATGTTTTAGCGTTCGGTTTGACTTCAGCACCTTATATATTTACCAAGTGCCTTAGACCATTGGTGAAACACTGGAGGAACCATGGTATTGACATTGTTCTCTATCTTGATGACGGGTTCGGTTTTGGTAACAATTACGAAAATTGTTTGAAAGCTTCAAATTTTGTTCGTAATTCTCTTGTTCAAGCAGGTTTATTAATCAATGTTGAAAAGTCAATATTTCAGCCCAAACAGTCTATGGAATGGCTTGGCTTGGTATGGGATTCCAAGACAGTATCTTTAAGTATACCGGAAAGAAGAATTGCGGATGCTTTAGATTCTTTGAAATTTATAATGAATACTTTTCCTTTGATTACAGCTAGAGAGCTAGCCAGGTTTGCCGGTCAGATTATTTCGATGTCACCTGTTTACGGAAATGTTTGTAGTTTGATGACAAGACATATTTATTTAGCAGTGGAGAGCAGAGCTCATTGGGACAAATTAATAAATTTTGAATTTCCAGACATAGTTAGAACAGAACTGAAATTTTGGTCACAGAATTTGTTTAAGCTAAATCTTAGGTGTTTAATTCAAGAATCTTTGCCTTTTACTATAGCGTTTTCAGATGCTAGCAATGTTGCTGCTGGTGCTTACACTGTTGAAATGAACGAAAATGTTTTCCATCATGTTTGGTCAGAAGCTGAATCTTTGATGAGTTCAACTTGGAGAGAGCTAAGAGCGATTCAATTAGCTTTATTTTCTTTTTCCAGTTCACTCCAAGGCAAGTCTGTGCGGTGGCATACAGACAACCAAAACTGCGTAAGAATTGTCCAGAGAGGCAGTACAAAAATTCATTTACAAGATCTAGCATTTAGTATATTTTCTATTTGTGCAGAATCTGGTATTTCTTTGAATTTAGTTTGGATTCCAAGAGACTTGAATACAAAAGCCGATTACATTTCTAATGTTATTGATTTTGATGATTGGCAAACTAGTACAGAGTTTTTTGAATTAATTGATAGTATGTGGGGTCCACATACGGTGGACAGATTTGCTAACGCTCAAAATGCCAAATTACAGAGATTCAATTCCTTATTTTGGTGTCCTACTACAGAAGCGGTAGACGCGTTTTCGAAAAACTGGAAATTCGAAAATAATTGGCTAGTTCCACCCATCTCTTTGGTTTCTCGAGCAATTAAGCATTTAAAATTTTGTAGAGCTAGTGGTACCTTAATCGTTCCAAAATGGCCATCATCTCCTTTTTGGACTTTGTTGTTTGGTCAAAATATGACATTCAAGAATTATGTGATTGATGTACTAGAATTTGAGCCACATCAAAATTTGTTTTGTCATGGTACGAATAATAAAAGCCTTTTTGGCTCACGTTATTTCAATTCTAGAGTCCTCGCTGTGAGGCTTTGCTGTGAAACAATTTAGACATGGCCCTTTTTCAAGATTGTCTTGAAGAAGCTGGCAAGGTCTGAAGAGTGTTATTTTGTGTTAGACATGGCCCTTTCAAGAATTGTCTTGATGAAGATGGCAAGGTCAGAAGAGTGTTATATTTGTGTTAGACATGGCCCTTTCAAGAATTGTCTTGATGAAGATGGCAAGGTCTTAGAGCGGAAATTGTGACTGAATTTTTGTTGTACAGATCGGATTTTAGATAAAGACACGGCCCTTTCAAGATTTTGTCTTGATGAAGCTGGCAAGGTCTTGTTATTTGTATATAAATTTTGTTGATACAAGTATCGCATTATACGTACAATGCTGAACATATTAATTGATGCATTTAAAAAAAAAAAAAAAAAAAAAAAAATTGTATTGGTGGGTGTTTGGACAAGGCCATTTCATTTATGTTGGCAGGTCCTGATATTTTGAATTTAATTTAATACTTTGTTGGACAAGGCCATGTTTAATTTATTTGGCGAGGTCCTGATATTCTAATAATCGATATTTTAGTATCATTATTTTTTTAATTCATCAGTTTTGCAGATATCTTTAAATCGGGCAAATGGGCATCTTCCTGGAAATGCGTGAATCCACAGTTAAAGAAATTAGCCGACAAACTCCCTTCTGTGTGCGAAAAATCAAAGGCGGAAAATACTAAGAAACAATATTCAGCTGCATTCAACAGATTCTGTAAGTGGTGTTCTACTTATCAAATTTCTCCACTTCCTGCTTCAGATTATAATGTTTCATTGTACATGGTCAAACTTGGTGAAACTTGTAATTCAGTGAATACAATCGATGAAGCGTTTTATGCTATTAGCTGGGCACATAAACTATCTGGGTATCTTAATCCGTGTTCCTCGGATCTCGCAATATTCACCAGGGAAGGATGTCACAGATCAATTGGTCACCGATCTAACAATAAAAAGGAACCTATTACACCTGAAATTCTTAAAAGCATATGTGTATTGTACGGGAACGAAACATGTAACTTATTAGACCTTAGAATCGCATGTATGTGTATTTTAAGTTTCACAGGTTTTTTGAGGTTCTCAGAGTTAGTTAATATTAGAATGTGTGACTTAAGCCTTTATGATGATCATATGACCATTTTTATACAAAAAAGTAAAACTGATCGTTATATGAAAGGAAATACTGTGTACATATCTGGCACTGGTCGTGTTACATGTCCTATTATTATCACGAAAAGATATTTAGAGAAAGCCAAGATTCCACCTGGTTCTAATGAGTTTATTTTTCGTTCTATAAATTTTTGTAAAAAATCAGGTATGTGTTCCTTAATTGGACATAAAAGTTTATCATATACCCGAGCTAGAGAAATTTTATTGTCTGCACTTGAATTTATTGGGTTAGATAAGAGCAAATTTGGTTTGCATAGCCTTCGAGCAGGCGGTGCCACTGCAGCTGCTAATTCTGGAATTTGTGACAGACTTTTCAAAAAGCATGGCAGGTGGCGATCTGATTCAGCTAAAGATGGTTATGTAAAAGAAAGTTTACATCAGAAATTATTTGTTACAAAAGGTCTCGGTATTTAGGGGGAGGGGTGGTTTTTGTTAGAATTACAAATTTTCTTTATCTTTTCTTTATCATCGAAGTCTGTTGCACGCGCGCATGCGAGCTCATCCTTTATATTGGTGTTTTGAGTTTTTATTTATAAATAATTTATGTTCGTTTGAACTGGTGAATTTAGAACATAAATATATTTATAAAAGTTACGGTAAACACGTTGGTTTGTTTACGGAATTTGGGGGCGTGGCTGTATCGAAGATCGATTGGTTTTAAGATTCGCGGTTCTGTAGGTTAAAATCATGCTAGGCATGTATATGTCGTATTGGGTTGTATTAAAGGTTTTTTTTAAGTCATTCGAAGTTTCGCTGCCTTAAGTGCAACAGACCCCCCCCCCACCCCTCCCCAAGTATATTATTTTGTATGGTTTTTCTTTTCATGAATGTTTTCAATAACTTATCGTTTCTCTTTTGTAGAACGGGGTGATTACTTGTATGTGACGAAGATTTATTTAATGTTATAACGATTGTAAAATTAAAAAGCTGTTGCACTCGCGCATGCGAGCTCATCCTTTATATTGGTGTTTTGAGTTTTTATTTATAAATAATTTATGTTCGTTTGAACTGGTGAATTTAGAACATAACTGTCAGTAATTACACTAAACCACTCCGGAGTTCCTGGGATGGCTCGTACCTCACACATAACCTCGGACGTCGAAGGATTCTACCATCTTGCTGATTCAGTCATATGAACATATTTGAATTGCGTTCAAATGACATATATTTGAAAACTGAGTATCTTTGTGACACGCTAAACATTTTCTTCTTGTTTTCAAAGCCTAAGCCTGCTGCCCAATCCCATTTACATTAACATCAGTGAATAAAAATATTTTTTTAATTAAAGCCTACATGTACTTATATAAGGTTGTAATCAAACCCTCGACAAATTCAAAAACCTTTTCTAGGAACTATATGCAGAGAAAAATATGAAATGAATGACAAGACAACATCCGATTGAGAAATGTATTGATCTGATGCGTACTCCTCCACCAATAACATCAGAGGTATTTGAATGGAGCTCGGCGGAGTCAGCCGAGGATTGCCGATTGCCGTTAAATAAGCAACTGTTTATATTTTTTTTTAGAAGCGAAGTCCAGCAAAGAAACATACAGTGATGTACATTTCAATAAAACAATATTTAATATACTTAACCATACTTTGATGTTTATTTTATAAAAATGTAAATAAAAACAACAATTTAGGTCTTTTTATGGAGGCAATGTCAGAACTTAATTGACATTGCATCTTTTTCAACAACTTAACAAAAATATTTTTTTGTTATCGTTATTTAATACCTGGCTATTTTTAATTAAATGACAAAATAGACATTGATGGGTTGATGATAGAAGCAGCTCAATAGAATTTGTATTAAGATATTCTTTATCTCCGATTAAAAAAATGTTTCTTTTTGATTTCTCTCCTAAGCAAATATAGATGTTAACGTAAATAACTGGTTATGAAAACAATATATGTATATTTTTGCACAGTTTTTTATATATATAAAATGATATTATGAACCGTATCATCAAGTACAGAAATAAAACTGGTCAGTAGGATACTTTGAGGAAACTGTTTACAACATTTTCTGGGGAGGTAATTTCGAAAGGGAGGGTTTGCATAATTGTCGAGTTGGATTATTCATTTCATATCAGTCAAAGGTAGAATGCTTCATTTTTTGATGAGTACGATAATAATTTTTAAGAAAACATATGGAGATAACGAACAGTTTTCAAGTTCAAATGTTCAGAAAAACAATACAATAGGAGCAAAGCAGACACGGACCCCCAAAACATCCTCTGAAAAGGTTTGTAAAGGAAAAATGTCCGGTTTGAGCTATCTATTTTTTTTTATATCTGATGTTTTGCGCCCCCCCCATTTTTTTTTAATTCAAAGACACTTGATACACATAAGTACTATATTGACCATTAAATAATGTCATTATGTTCTGACACATTTCAGTATCCCTGTTGAAGAAGGATTCCAGTTTTTCAACTGATACACATGTACATCTATTTGAATCTCCAACTCAGCAGGATGCCTCAGTCACCACCGATATTTTAATAGATGTTGCAAAAGATCTGATGAAATAGTGTATCTACTTTGTATCGGACAATGCTAGCTGTTATAAGAGTTCGTCAACCTTGGTATTATTACATAAAGAGTTACCTATATATGCAAATTGGCAATATTTATAACGTCTAAATCATTTTCTACATCACAAGTCATTTCTGTCTGGCTTTCATTCCGGGTTCCAACCAAGCGATTTATAACAGAAAATGTTAAAAATTTAAACGTAATTCCACATATTAAATCTACATTTTATCCGTTTTAGTTTACACTCTACTTACCTACTAAAGAAGTCAATGTTGAGGAAGACATATTCACCATTATCAAAACCGAGTTCGTCGGCAGTAATCATTATGTTCCTCACAATATCACTGGGGGCACAAAGCAACACAACTGAAGGGAAAAATATATATCTATATCTCAAATGTATTTTGTTTACAAGCACTACATGTTAAGATATATTAAAGGAAAATGTGTAGAAATATTTTAGAAATATATAGATTGTGTTAAATATATAAGAACAGTACAAAATAGGAGCTGAGCAAACCCTTTCCCCTTGAATCATGAATTGAACAAATATGAATTCAACACTACCTAACGATGCGTCCATATCAATATAGCTAAACATGGCTTTACCATTCTATAGGAGAGGTTCCTAAAAAAAAAACCTTTGATCGTTTATTGTGGCCCCGCCCTACCCCTTGGGGATATGATTTGAACAACCTTGATTATAAACTACCTGTGGATGCTTCCATATAAACCTGATCAATCATCACTTTGCTGTTCTCTCTTGAAGATTTTGAAAAGTTTTCCTATATATTCCTATGCACAAATTTGATTTTCTGTTGTGGCCCCGTCCTAACCAGGGATCATGATTGGAACAGACTTGATTTTAATCTACCAAAGAATGCTTACACATAAGTTTTATTTTTTCTGGCCCAGTGGTTCTTGAGAAGATTTTTTCCTATATATTCCTATATTAAACTTTGATTTTTACTTGTAGCCCAGCCCTTTCCCCGTAAGTCATGATTTGAACAAACTTGATTGTACACTACCAAAGAATGCTAACACATATTTTATTCTTCCTGGCCCAAACTCTAATAAAAGAATTTTCAAGATTTTTACTATATTTTCCTATGTTAAATTTTGATTTCCATTGTGGCCCCGTCCTACCCACGTGGGTCATATTTTCCTATGTAAAACTTGATTAACACTCCCTAAGGATGCTTCCACATAAGTTTTATCTATCCTGGCCCAGTGGTTCTTGAGAAAAAGATTTTTAAAAGATGTCAGTAATTGTTCACTAGTTATTAATATCTCCCCTAATAAGATAGTGTGACCATTTAATTAACAGACTTGAACCCACATTACCCAATGATTCTTTGTGGCAAGTTTTGTAATATTGGTCCAGTGGTTCTTAAGAAGAAGTCGAAAATAGTAAAAGGTTTACAGATGAACGCCGGGCAAAATGTGATCAGATAAGCTCATTTAAGCCTTCGGCTAAGGTGAGATATAAAGCATCAAAGATTTAGCATTCTGGCCCCTTGTGGCCCCTAATTATGTACCATACGACATGGAAATCATAATATATAGTTGTAGATGGTTGAGATGAACATCTTTGCTTCAGTAATGTATTACAAAATATTAACCGATAAAGAGTTATCGATTGAAGACTTTTGGCCCCTCTTGGCCCCTAATTCGAGTGCCCAGCCCCTTTTTCGGGATCTCATCTTAAAGATCTTAAGAAGAAATGTATCATATACATACAATCTAAAGATAGGCGAGCAAAGACATTTTAAAATCAATTTGCAATCTTAATGCGTGGTATTGCAGTGATGATTATCATCATTTATAATATAGAACTAAGCATGAATTTAACATTTATCTGCCGTACTTGTCAGACATTTCTGAAAGGGACTGGACAAACAGAAATCAGATAAATAGTTATTTGACCTTTTGTCTCGTAGTACTGCAATCACATAAAATGCCATGTAGCAGTTAATGTCCTTTAGTTATCTTAATTATTACCGTGACGCTCAGCACAACACAGCTAATTACTAGGAATCGACCATTTACATTTTTTGTTGCCTTGGGAACAAGCATGAGAACTTTAAAAATTTAAAAAAAAAAAGATTCAGTATCTATCAGCATACGAAATTTGATAAAAATATCTTGAATAGTTTCTTTGAAACTGAGCTAAACGCAAAGCGTAAAGGAAGGACAGACAGAAGGACATAAGACGGACATGACAAACACTATATGTCCCGGCCATATTGATGGCAGGGCATAAAAATCCAAATTTTTGCATGCTTCAGATTGACATGGAATAATTCATTATCTCTGAGCGTTTATATTAATATAATTTTACGATATACAATTTTAAGTTAATTCATTATTTTTACTGATACCATGCAAATGTACTGAAATGATTTATGAAAGTTTTTGAATGAATTATATACACAGAGATAAAGTCAAGCTCAATGAAAACTATTTTGACAGGACCTCTAATTACAACAATAGAGGTGAGATCAGGTGCCATGGAGGCGCGATCCAATGAAGAGATCTCAAAGTTATTTCATCCCTTTTCATACGATTTATTGAATGGAATAAGTGTCATTTACCTCCATAAGAATTTCCAATCTCATTCACAAGTAAATCTTCTAGATTGACCCCTGTATCTAAGATGAAGGAATCGCTGGTAATATTTGAACTGTCCGAGTTTAGATAGTCGTGCACAGCTTTACTCAGGAGGGAGCAATAATCTTCATACAAATCCTCTCCCTTTCCTTTAGAAATAATTTTCATTTTTTTCCAAGAGAAAAAGTCCATTAAAATTTTAATATACTCGGCAACATTGTTAAAATTCACAGGACCAGCGCGTATTAAACTAGAGTAATCCTGTTTTCTATACTTCATAAAATCAGACGCCATGGCTCCCACAGAAATGAGTGGGATATTCCAATACTTGGCCTGAAAATATAAACATTTGTGATTGAAAACATGATTCTTTAAATATTTTACCTCCCTTAAGTTATTATTAAATTATGTGTATTAACCAATTTCTCTCATGTTGGTCACTTTATTATCAAGTAGTATGACCATTTGAAAATGTATACCCCGGTAACATACATGTAGAAACGAGTTTATACTTGGATGCTTTTCAAATATTTGTTTCGAATTTGTTTCTAAAACAAGCACTGCTGTTCAAAATAAAGAGATGCATTTATCCTTTTTCGAATTTTGATATATTTTACAGTTGACGGCTTACCTGTACACTAGGACAATTAAGGGAAGCTCTTTTACAATATAAATATTAAGCTCAGTTATGAATTCAACGAAGTTGTCAGTTTATTTCAAAGCACCACATAGCTGTCCTTCAAGAAAACGACAGCCACCCTACCCTCATTTTCGGCCTTCACATATCAGTGTCTCCCAACATCATACATATGACAGCTATTAAGGTGTAATCTATTCTGAACCTTAGTGAATGATACGGCCTTAATGTCAAAGTAAATCCTAAACTGTAAAAGTCTGCTTTTCGCAAAGGTTCAGCAACCGTCATTTATTCATACAATAAAAGCAATCTATTTGTCATTTTGAATTTTTTTTAATGTACCGGGTGGCAGTAAATACGAAACTTTCAGCATTACAACTTGTCTTTTTGCAATTGTTTTATTTACTGCAACATTATATATTGATCCAAAATTTACATGACATCTTTTAATTTAAAGAAGTTTCGTTCTTGAATTGCTGACACAATTTTGAGAAAAATCGTCCTACGGGACTGAATCTTTAGGTGTACATATCTGTTAAATATTGCACGATTTAATATCAGACAGAATTAACAAATATTTTAATTTGCAATTTTTTCTCAAATATAATGCATATTTATTCAGTATATATGCAATGAACTATTTACTAAACTATGAACTTTACAATAAATTCCAACATCAGGTGAGAGTAATTAGGTTTCTAGATTGAGAATTAGCTGTTGAAGTTCGTTATTATTTGCCTAACTTAAAATCTGTCTAAAGTACAAGTACCTTTAGATTTACTTGTTTCATTTTCTTGCCACATTTTTAATGTATAAAATAAAATTAGAATTTTATTATCAGGGAGTGTTAAGACAAACTTACTCAAAAACTTCATAAATTGGAGAAAAAAATCTGATTACCATTCTAGAAAGTTGGGCCACGGCGTAGTCACACACGGGACCAAAGAAGGCGTGGACGGTTTCCTCTTGATGAAGGAGGATCCCCTTGGCCACCCCGACAGTCGTGTCAAACTTGGTGTCTGCATACCTGACGTTAAAGTTAACATTGGGAGGTAAAGTATACCGGACATATGCAATCCCTATTTCTAGTGCCGGAAGCAGTTTATCTACAGAGAAAGGGTATCGCGTGATGTTTGGCAGCAAAACCGCTATATTGACCTCCATATCGCACCTCACAGCCGAATAGATAATGGTCAGAAGACATAGCAGTTTCATGATGTAATAATTCTTCAAAAAGTTAATGGACTCTTGTTTCACAAATTATTGACTAATTAAAGAACCAGGATTGAAAGCGATCCGCCGTTGAATGTTTTTTTTAAATAATCTGTTCTTAACACAGAATGCTGAATATTCATATGCCCGTCACTACTAATCATAACCAGCAATAATAAACAAGGAATAACGAGGAAAATCTCTTCATGAATACGAAAACACAACACTCAATAACATAGGCTAAGCATAGACTGAGATAGATGCTGTGTAAAAGTCATCAAGTTAGCGAATGACCTTTTCCTCGCAGTGAAGGGGGGCTCCATAAGGGTTACTTGTATATATTATAAGAAAGGAGAAACGATGAGGTTTACAGGGAACCCACAGTATTTTAGACCAATTCAAATAAACCATTTAAATATAGGTATTTATAAATAAAGCCTTTTTTTATCAATTTGGCCTTTGACCCATCGCATGTCTGTGAAGGACAGGTGAAGATCCACACTTTATGTTTTTTCATTATGACTTGTTCTATAAAAAATGGAGTGGGTGCCGTATTATAGTTTAACCAATTACTCTGGTTGTATGTACGCATTGCTTAGCGGAAAATCTATTGTTTACCGTGAAATACATGTATTTTCCATAATGACCCTTGTCTGCTTAAATTCTCATTTCTTGTTCAATAATTAAAAAAAATAGTATGTAAAAATCATGTCCATCTATTTCAGTTTTCAAAATATACAACAAATTTTACTATGCGGTCAGAGGATTCACGGAGCAATCACTTAACGTTTTGTGACGTGACAAGCAGATTTCAAACCTGGTATACTACTGTTTGCAGAAATATTTAAGAGAGATGCTTTATCAAAAGAACCAGTGGCCCCTAGAGTAATTAAAGTGAGAGGGTTCCCTTTTATCGTTATTAAACATCCTGTACACTGGAAGAATTGATATCAACTCTGTTTGTTTGAGTGATATTATGAAATTAGCTCTCGTTTTTAAAGTAGAGCATATAAGATCATAATGTCTAATGAAAAGCAAACAACTTGTATATGAAGACTTTCTACGACTATTGCCAACTATGGCAATATTACAAGAAGTTGTGATGTGTGACTTGATAATCAGGAAACCTACAACCATTTTCTTGAAGGTCATTGAGTAGTAAGCTTCTTCACAATTCTATATACAATGTATATCTAATCATTACTCGAATCTTTTCTTGTCTTTTTCAACCTGAATGTACTATTTTTATTAAAACAATCATTTTTTTTTTTACTTATGTTCTATAATGACTTTTGTCTAGCCTAGTGGTTTTTGAGAAAAAATTTTGATGACCCCACCCTATTTCTTTCATAATTATATCCCCTTCTGAGGGGACTTGGCCCTTTATTTTGACAATTTTAATTACCTTTCACCAAAAGATGCTAAGCATTGGGTTTCGAATTGTTTCAATACATGTATTCCATCACTTATATTGTAGGGTCTCACTAATATCCGAAACAGCACTAATAAGAACCACTGGGCCAAAAAAGCTGAAACTTATGTGGAAGGATCCTGGAGTAGTGTTCATTCAAAATTGTTCAAATCATGACCCCCAGGGGTTGGCGGGGACACAAAACAGAATCAAAGTTTAACATAGAAATATATAGGAAAAACTTGTAAAATATTCTTTTCAAGAACCACTGGGCCAGAAAAGCTGAAAGTTTTGTGGAAGGATCCTTGAGTAATGTAGATTCTCATTTGTTCAAAACATGACCCCTGGGAGTAGGGCACAATAAGGAATCAAAGTTGTACATAGAAAAATATAAGAAGAATGTTTTTAAAAATCTTCCCACTGGGCCAGATAAACTGAAAGGTAACTGAAACGTGTGTTGAAGCATCTTGGGTTGTTATGGTTTTTGAATTGTTCACATCACGACCCCTGGAAGTAGGGCGGGGCTAAAATAAAGAAACCAAGTTTTACATAAAATATTTAGATTTTTAAAAAGTCTTATTGTTAATACTTGTCACATTTTAATATCCACTCTATGCATATGAAGCATTTACTATCTATCTACCAAAAGTCAATATAATTTCCACCAACTATGAACTTTTTTTTTCAAATTCAAATTTCAATTGCAACCAAAAGCGAACCAAGAATCAAGTTCCATCCATTCCCTTGTCAGCTTTAAAATTGACGTTAAAACAAAGTAAATGTCTCAACGGTTGAAGGGCAACGTTGATTAACGTTATATCGACTATGGGAATAAATGGTTGGCCAGAAGTCTTACTTCCAGAATAGGAATGAGAAATAAGAAAGCCTTGGTGATACCTAGAGAAGATCTTAGTGCCAAAGAATGCTACAGGGGACAAAGAATATATGTTAAAAAATTTATGTTTCCTCCATAATGCTCTGTCTTTGCAATCCTGCTTAAAAAGGAGTCTAAAAGCAGAAACTTTTTAACACGTTTATTCCATATATATAGTACAAAAAAAAATTATTTATAAAGTGTATTCATGCACATCTAATTTCTAATATTGTATTTTTCAAATGTACAGTTTTTTTCCTAGCATTATTAACAATTATTTGTAAGAACTAAATGCAAAAAAATTAGGCAAAAACTAGACAGGTCTTTAACAATTTGAAGCAGCAGCATCGTTGTACTTGCTTTCTGACCTACAAAATAAAATGACCTGTATTTAAATCAGAGGCAACATAACACATGTAGGTATGTATAATGAAGTATACATGTTAGATACTTATGGAAAATCGCGTCGGTAAGCTTGAAGATTTCCTTATTTTATATATTCTATATTTCGATTTTTTGTACAGTAGTGATATGAGAATAACATTTTAAAAAGGAACATTAAACCTCAATTGACACCATACCAAACCTGCAATATAGACAATAAAATATTAAACACTGTAACAATCAACTGGCAACAATCACTGACAGTTATACGATATTTATATAATTCTGAACTTTGAAGATTTTTTAAGGAAACAAGATTAAGTAAATAAGAAACACATAATTTAATAAAAACAAGGATACAGCGAACACAAATCAAGCATAAAAGTGCACACATTTATTAATATAATCTCACATACACTCTTGCATACTGTTCATTATATGTATAAGAGTTCGTTTCATGATATATAAACATTAAAAAAGAACACAGTGAAAATTCTATACATTTATTTTTTTAACGTGCTGAAATTAAATACATAATTGTTCCATTAAAATCAGTTTTTCGGAACACTTAACTTAAAATCAAATAGTTAACTTTTAATATCTTTAAAGTCATTTCAGAAAAAAAAAACAGGTGAAAAATATGACTTACCATTTGTTAAATAAGTGGAGGCATCAAGGGAGGTAGAAAAAGTCGTTACAGCTATATCCACAGTTGAAGATTCTAAAAAAAACATGTTACACAAACATGCTTAGTTAGAAACGAAATTAAAAAAAAGTTTGAAATAAATTCAAGTTTCTTTTAAGTCTGCAGTAATTTTTTCGTATTTTTTTATTAAAACATCAAATAACAGATTTCTAATTAATTTAATTAAACTTTCAAATTTAGATCTAGACTTTTTCATCTAAGAGCCCTTGAACTTCCTTACTGTCTTACCAATGATGTTAATTTTTGAAATTATATCTAAATAATACAAGTTAAAAGTAAAATTTCATCTAATTGTATGTGAATTATTTATATGAATGATTATATGCAAATTAATAGATGGAACGATTTGTAATAGTGAGAATACATTAATTATTCAGTCAAAACGTTGATACTATTGTAAATAAGTTTTCTACAGTCTTTTTGTTTGGGTTCAGACAAGTTATTTTAGATGTTATTATGTCAGGCAATAGTAAACCAAAAATAAATGCATAAAAATGCAAACTCGGACCATTTGAAACCAAACTGTATAAAACAAAAATCCAATTTTATAAAAGTAATTTAATTTCGAAAGGTTACACTGACCTACGTTTTGTAGTTGACATACCGTGAGAACCAAATAATTTGAAAGCGAATTACTGCAAATGCCAAATGGTACGCCACTGACCTATTTTTGGGTCAACGTGACTTAAGGTCCAAAAATACATACAAAGTCTAAATTTAATGATCTTAGTCCTTATAGTAAGCGAAGAATAACAAAACTTAATTCTTTGTTAACGTTTAAGCGGCTTCGAGAGCTCATTAAAGACTGTGGCTCAGAACTAAAAATGATGAATAATGGATTATAATGTTTTAGTTATCCTCAGAAAAGCTTACCTGTTGATTTGATACATCTTCCAAAGAAAAAGAAAGTACACAAAATGTTAATTATTGTTCCAGACATTGTAACATTAGTCAGAACATACACGTTGTAAACATTTTCCGTTCCTCGATGATTGCTCAACAAAATGTACACTGATTAATCTATATGATGAATGTGAATTGCTTCTCAAAAATGTAAAAAATAAAGACACGGTTCCTTCAGGGTTATAGAAAAGCCTCAAAATAGCTACAAGGCATTTAAACTGACGTTTCTTGTGAACGGAAGATATATCAAAATTCATTACGCCCTTACCTTGAAAAGAATATCTGGTGCCGCCTGACTGCATTCTGGTATTTAAACAAATAAAAACTTGGACGGTTATTGCATATGGGTTATATATCTTTTTATTACACAAAAAAATAATGCTCTCTCATTTTGCGTCTTGTTCAGGAGATAAAGACAATTTCTAAAAATGCTAGAAATAAAAACTATATTAAAGCTAAAAAAAACTTTCAAAAAGACAAACAAGATATTTTGGAGAAAGACAAAGGAAGTATCCAGAAATAAATTGGAGTTTTGGATGCAGTAACAACAGTGCGTTGACCACAGAAATTTAAACTTTAAAGTCGCGGGTACTTTACGGAAGCATATAAATCATTTCTCAAGAAAATAAGACTTTTTTTTAAAAAAAATTAAGTTTGATAACTTACCAAAGCCACTAATAAACATAAACTTTTATTAACTATTGTACAGAAATAAGAGAACGTCTAACGCAATGACGTGCGCCACCACCACGGCATCACGTGACTTCTACTAATATTAGCGAAATGTTCCTTAACAAAAACGCTAACAGAAAAACAATACCCCGGAGTTTAATAACTTTTTTGAGTAAATAAACATCTATTTTGCCTGAAAAAGTGCTGCTTGAATCCCACTGTCCTGTCAGTAAAATAATTATAACACAAAACCTTACCCATCCTTTTGAATTTAACACATATGAGCCTAGAATTTTCGTAAAACCATGCTTAACTCGGGATTCTAACAAAACTTTCCAAGTATTTTAGAAGGCGAACTTTCCATCTATACAAATCTTATGTTTTAAAATACCCAGCTCATTGTTCTAAAGCATTATTTTTGTCACGAATGACCGAGGAAAGGCCGACAGGGAGAGGGTATAGGTGACTGTCTTCGAAAGAGAATAAAATTGATGAAAATAGATTAGCATAACGTGCGAGTACCCATTGCCGTTTTCAATAAAAACATTAAAAACTCCGCCAATCTGTTATTTTTTTTTATTATGACGTAAAAAAACATAAATTACGTCATTTATGTAGACACTGCATACAACCCGAGAAGAAATTTCCTCATCAAAGATAAAGATTTTAGCATTAGAAAAGGTAAGTCTTGCATTACACAGCCATAACGACACGTGCGACAGCACATGTCATCCTGCAAATTCTTTTAAATCAGAATTTTTGAGTGAAAACATCAGCTTGTAAAGTTGAAATGCAAGAAAACTACCTTCTTGGTGCAAATCCCTTATAAAAACATATCTGTCACTTTCTCAATTTTTCCATATAATGTTAAACCTTCACTTAGTCCAATGTCAACATCTCGCCATTTTTTTCTGAAAAATATTTTTTTGGCTTTGCAGTATTGGACAAAATGATATTTGAAATAAAATCAAAGTCCTCGAAAGAACAAGGTTCACTTTTGCCTTATTTAGCCCTGTGAATTTCTGAAAAACTGAAACTGCACAGTTTTAGTTAACAATGCATAAAAGTATCATTTAGGTCTTTGGTGAATCCGATCCTATAAAAAATGACGTCATTTTCTGGCTAGTCCATGCATTATGACGTCACGAAATGCGTCAATTTCCTCATATTCAGAAAAAAGTCTACAAAACGGCCAATTTTGAAAGTTATTTTTTGATATTTGATATAGAGCGCAACCTCTGATAAAAAATATGCAACTAGTAAATGATAGAATGGTTTCTGAGGATTCATGGACATGTTTTATTTTTTAGATCAGAGGGTGCGCTCATATCAGCATTATTTTTCTTTACTGAAAGTGCTCAATTATACCTGTTTTCCTAAAAATTCAAGAACATTGCAATTTCATAAAGCCAGTTCTCCTAGACCTGGACCTTGTGAAGAAAATTTTTACTAGGATATGTAAGCACCAAGTCTCTAATTTATTTTAATGCTTCAAATAGAAAATCAAGTGTTGATCAATTAATTGGCATATCTATAAGGCCATTTATGCGTAAAGTGAACCGACTTCTTTATCAATATTTTCAATGTTTTCATTCATAGTGGATAACTATACAGAATAATAACAACTAGTGCTAATTGTAACGGGGACCGTTACAGATGTTCCCCAAACGATCCCCAACTCCCTTTTGGTGCCATATTCCCTGGGAGCTTCATAAAATAAGACAAACTCGATGCCTTTGAAACTTTAACAACGTTTATTAAGAAGTGTAGAAAGTCCATTCAAATTTTAGCATTGCACGCGTGCGCATGTGAATGCATGTGCGTAATGACCATATCATCTTGTCTACACAATCTATATATTTTAATATACTAAACATTAAAGTATTTAATCCAAAAGTTTTAAAAAGTTAGCTCATTCAAGTGTTTTTTATTTTGCTCATTTCACGTGCGCGTACGTGCTCGCACGTGCATGCATGAGCATAATGACCATACCTTCTTGTAGATGTCCGTTACATCTATCTTTGTTCTAAATCCCATCCCGTTTGGTTGAAAACCAAGGGAGTTATAGTTGTTTAAAGTTTCAACCAATCAGATTGCAGCGCAAGTACATGCACGTGTATGTATGTGCATGGTGACCATATTTTTTTGTTGTAGTCAAACATATCTATCTATGTTCCAAATCTCATCCTGTTTGGTTGAAAATTAAGGGAGTTATAGTTATTTAAAGTTTAAGCCAATCAGATTGCAGCGCACGTGCATGCACGTGTTTTCATGATAATTGCTATATATCATGTTGTAGGATATCCTAATGCATGGCTATTTTCAAAATTTCTAAGGATTTCGTCAAAAAACAAGAAAGATATTGAGACTTTAGTTTCAGCCAATCAGAGCAAAATGCACGTGCATGCACGTGAGATCTTGCTATTTTGACCATGTCATATTGTCTATGCTACTAATATATCCTTATATTTTAAGTTTCAAAGCATTTCATCAAAAATTTAAAAAGTTACGCCTATATCAATTAAATCGGTCATTTCACATGTTGCACGTGCACGCTCTTGCAAGCACGTGCGCGCAAAATGACCTTCATTCCGCAAATCTACATAACATGTCTACTGACCCTAAAAACATTTCACCTTGGTCGGATGTATAGTTTGCGAGATCATTCCCGGACAAAAAAGTACCCAGGAAGAAGAAGAAGAAGAAAAATAATAATAATAAGAAACAGAGTAAAACAATATGTTCCCCAACTTCGTTTGGGGAACATAACTAGAGATGAATGTACAACAATGCCATTTGGACACATTGTTCACCTATTATTATAGCGTGATTTTTTCTCTACTGGTCAGAGACCAGAAGAGCTTATGCGATAGTAATGCGTCCGGCGTCCGTCCGTCTGTCTGTCTGTCTGTCCGTCTGTCTGTAAACAATTTTTCAAAACGCTACTCCTCCTACAATTTTTGTCTGATTTCAGTATAACTTGGTACACAAGTAGACTACACTAAGATACATAGAATAGTGCATCGGTTTTTGATTTTGATGAACGGTGTTGCCATTGTTACAAAAAATAGAATTTTCTGTGAAATTCCTTTAAAACGCTACTCCTTCTACAGTTTTGGTCTGATTTCAATATAACTTGGCACACAAGTAGACTACACTAAGATACATAGAATAGTGCATCGATTTTTGATTTCGATGAACGGTGTTGCCATGGTTACTAAAAATAGAATTTTCTGTGAAATTCCTTTAAAACGCTACTCCTTCTACAGTTTTGGTCTGATTTCAATATAACTTGGCACACAAGTAGACTACACTAAGATACATAGAATAGTGCATCGGTTTTTGATTTCGATGAACGGTGTTGCCATGGTTACTAAAAATAGAATTTTCTGTGAAATTCCTTAAAAACGCTACTCCTTCTACAGTTTTTGTCTGATTTCAATATTAATTGGCACAAAAGTAGACTACACTAAGATACATAGGATAGTGCATTGGTTTTTGATTTCGATGAACGGTGTTGCCATGGTTACTAAAAATAGAATTTTCTTTGAAATTCCTTTAAAAGGCTACTCCTTCTACAGTTTTGGTCTGATTTCAATATAACTTGGCACACAAGTAGACTACACTAAGATACATAAAATAGTGCATCGGTTTTTGATTTCGATGAAAGGTGTTGCCATGGTTACTAAAAATAGGATTTTATGTGAAATTCCTTTAAAACGCTACTCCTTCTACAGTTTTTGTCTGATTTCAGTATAACTTGGTGCACAAGTAGACTACACTAAGATACATAGAATAGTGCATCGGTTTTTGATTTAGATGAACGGTGTTGCCATGGTTACAAAAAATAGAATTTTCTGTGAAATTTCTTTAAAACGCTACTCCTACAGTTTTGGTCTGATTTCAATATAACTTGGCACACAAGTAGACTACACTAAGATACATAGAATAGTGCATCGGTTTTTGATTTCGGTGAACGGTGTTGCCATGGTTACTAAAAATAGAATTCTCTGTGAAATTCCTTTAAAACACTACTCCTTCTACAGTTTTGGTCTGATTTCAAAATAAGTTGGCACACAAGTAGACTACACAAAGATACATAAAACAGTGCAATGGTTTTTGATAAGTACAAACCAGTAGAGCTACAGTCTCGACAGAGACTTCTGGTTTTTTCTTATTGTTATTCTTAATATTGAAGTACCAACCCTTTTCTTAATATTAAACGGAATTTTATTAAGGCCCCTTTTTAAGTCTGAAATTTTGGCTGTTTGATTAATTGGTTTCATTAAAATTAGTCAAGTGACTAGTCAAGTGTAAAAAATATACAGATGGACAGACAAAATGTGAACAGAAAAGCTCAGGCCAACAATAAAAAAAGTATTGTTTGATGTACTCCAACCAACCTGTCAAAATCACCCATACCCAATAATTTTTATTCAGGATTTTAAATTTCTTATAAATTTTCCATTCTGTAATATTATTTCCTTCATAGGATGCTTTTTCATTGAAAATTTCATAGCAATAGATATTAATTTTTTCTGCATTTTGTTATTATTCTGTATAGTTATCCACTATGAATGAAAACATTGAAAACATTGATAAATTTTAGAGACTTTGAT